CCCGGAGGCCCGCTGGGATCATCTCCAGACGCGGGGCCTTCTCGTTTTCAGGCTGCCGCGGCCACTGCCGCATGCGGAGGTCGCCATTCGGTGGTTTACGGGCCCGCCCAGATGAAAGCTGCACGGATCTCTGCTTGTGCACGGACGGCTCCATGAAGTACGGCCCGCACTTCGAGTTCCAGCGCACTGGCTGCGCCATCGTCGTCGTGCTGGCCGATAGGGGCCTTCTGGTAGAAGGCGGCGCAGTGCCTCCGCCGTGCGTTCGCACTGCGGCGGCAGCCGAGCTGTGGGCCGTCCTCGTGCTCTCGATCGCAATCACGCCGCCTTCATCCGCACGGATTGCCCATCCTGTCAGCGGCCGCGGCCGGCACGGTGCAGGTTGCCAACCCCTCGCGCATGCTGGCCCAAGTAGTTAAGGTCGCGAGTTGCCATCTTCCTGGACAGGGACGTGTCCGAGCTAGTCAATTCGGTCAGGCTCACATGGATGCCAGCGCACGGCACTGGTGTCGTGATCGGCATGGCGCCTCGACCGATGGCCGGCGGTTGCGGCGCTGGATCGCATGGCAAGCCGCTTGGCCGATAGCGTGGCCAAGGTGCTGCTGGTTGCCCGCTACCGGGCGCCGCAGCCCTGCGCCCCCAGAAGATCACGGAGGAGCTTGTTGCGCACGAGGCCGAGATCCCCGACATGCTGTTTTTTCTCATGACGTCGACCCCCGGAGGTCTCGACCCGTTCCCTGGGACTGGCTTTCTGCCAGAGTCGCTGTTTGACGGTCTCGAGGGCCAGTATAGGCCACCGGAGGCCGAAGCTAGAGAAGACACGTTCGTCGTGATTCTTGTCGTGACCCGAGGCGCTCCAGGCTCGGGGCCGTGCCTCACGCGGCGAACCACCACGCGAGGGTGGAGCTCGGCCTCCGCGCCCCCAGGAAGCCGCCCAGCCGGCGATGCGGGCCCAGCATACTCCAGGACCCCCCTTTGAGATCCTAGCCTTATGTCGGGCGTGTCCCCCTACAGGGGGATTTTCGATTAAAAATAAATCATCCCAGTGCGACCCTAGCTAGGAGTTGGAGCCCCTAGGAAAGCAGCATTAGTAGTAACAGTAAAGCTAAGATAAAGCTAAGCTAAAGCTAAGCTAAAGCTAAGCTAAACCTAAGCTAAAGCTAAGCTAAAGCTAAGCTAAAGCTAAGCCAAAGCTAAGCTACAGCTAAAGCTAAAGCTCCCAGGGGACTGGGGGAACCGCTCCCAGGGGACCGGGGGAACCGCCCGGGGCGCTTTCCACTGCCCGGCCCCTTTAAGCAAACAGAGTAAGAACCCTTCTAGGCAGAGCCTAGGTCGGGACAAATGCCGCAAAAATGCACCAAAAAGGCCAGAAATCCACAACAAAATAGTCCCCAGACTATTTTTGGACTATTTTTGGACCAGTTTGGGGGTATGCTTTATTTTTCGTCGAAAAACCTCATTCGGGGGACAGGCCCGACTTAATCCTAGCCCAATGCCCAGTGCCCCTGGGGACCTGAGGTTTCTGGCGTTGCCATGTTTCTACATCGGGCGTCCTCGCCCGGTTCCGGGCTTCGGGGCCCCCACAGATCGGTCCGCTTCGACAAAAAGTTGCAGGAAGATTGGGTCCAGGGCTCCGGTCGTGATTGTTTGCGATGTTGTCAACGGCACCGTAACGGGTACTTACTAACGGGTACTTTGAAATGTTGCCGAAAGTTGCCACTTTAGGGCCTTTTTCTTGCATTGCAGCTTTGCCCACATCGGGAAGGGTTGGGTTCGCTGGGTCACTGGCCAAAGTACCCGTTAGTGGAGTCCCCGTTTGAGGGGCGCTGATGTTGTACCACAGTCGGCCCAGATTAGTAGGTCGACCCTGCCAAATCAAGGGTACCCTTGTGTTCTGTGTCTCGCGACCCATGCTTCCCACATTCCTGTGGCAATGTGGCCCTCGGAAGGGTCTTCTGTCCTCTCGCGCGTCCTGTCCAATCGAGCCCGACTGTACTTTCTATTGCGAGGTCGGATCTCAGGGGGGGGTGCATGGCGCAGCGCATGCCGCCGCGGTGCGCGCTGGCTCGGTTGCCCGGGCTACGGCTGACGCGGCTGCCACGCAGGCCATCTGCGCGGCTCGCGCGGCCGCGCAGATGGCCTTCCCCCGCGCCGCGGGGTGCCGAGCGATTGGCTACCGTGAGGGCGCGCGTCCTGGCCAGACGGGTGGCCCCGCCGTGCTGCGACGAATGTGGTGCCACGGGCGCTCGCGGGCGCGCGCGCCCCTGCGCGCTGTTGTTCCGAGCGCCTCTCCGAGAGGAAGCGCCGTGTGGAGTCACATGGCGCCCAGCTGAGTCGTGAGGACATTCAAACGTAGTCCAGAGCAGTCGCGCAGGGCCCAGTACGGTCCACCTGAGTCCAAGTGAGTCCCTGGAGCCCAGTGGCGTCCAACGGAGTCATCAGTGGCCCGGTGAGACCCAGTTGTGCCCAGTGTGGCACAGTGGAGACCAAGGGATACCATCGGTTCAACGGAGCCCGATGGAGGCGCATGGAGTTCAATGGATTCGAATAGAGTCCAGTTGAACCCATCTGGGTCGCATGGAGCCACATGGAGTCCTATTGAGCCCACTGGAGACCATTTTGGTCCAGCAAGGCACATCGATTCCAACCGAGCCCAATGGAGTCACATGCGGTCGCACGGGGACTCCAACGGAATCCAATGGAGTCCGATGTGCAGTCCAATGGAACATAATACCGTCATTGGAGTCCAATCCAGTCCATTGGCATTCGCAGAGGAGGTCAATGGAGACCTGAGACCAGTGGACCAATGGAAACCCAATGAGACCACTGGAGTCCAACAGAGTCGTATGGGGCCCAATTGAGTCCCATGGCGTCCAATGTGGTCGTATTGGTGTCCAGTGGTGTCCGATTGAGGCGTGTGGGGGTTCCAGCGGAGTCCAATGGTGTCTTGTGGAGAGCATCGGAGCCCAATAGACTTTCATTTTAGCCCAACGGGTTGAATGTGTTCCAACGTCGGCAACTGGATTCCCATGTAGGCCTTCTAGGAACTTCGCTCATTTGTCTTGGAGCTTCCGCTGTTAGATATGTCGTCGCACCATCTTGGTCTCGTCTCGCTCCTTCTCGCCCCCGCCCTCGTCTAAGTACATCCTCCTCCTCCTCCTCCTCCTCTTCCTTCCAATATGCACCCTCGTCCTCTGGCATTTGCAGTTCTAGAAGCCGCGCGCCTTGTCTCTGACCGTGGGTTTGGTGGAGGCGCGGCTTTCGTGCGCCAATCCTGCGCCTGGGGAACGTATCCGGCAGGAGAGAGGGAGGATAGCGTAGCAGGAGCTCTGGAAAAGGACGAAGAGGAAAATGACGAAGGGCAGGAGTCGGAGTCGGGCGAGACTGAGGAGGAGGAGGAGGAGGAGGAGAGGCTGTGGGAAGAAAGAGGGAAGGAGGGACGCGACGAGGTGGACATGGATGATGTGAGGAGTGAGGGGAGGGAGCACGAGGACCGAGGACGACAAGGAGAATGATAATCAGCTGGAGGAGGCGGGAGTCTGAAAATGGGGAGAAGGAAGGTAAAAACCTCGAGGAGGAAGGGGGGCTGGGAGGAAAGAGGGGGAGGAGTACGTTGAGGGGAAACATGGTGGTGGAAAGCTGCGGGAGGAGGGATGCTAGATCAAGGTGAATAGAGGAGGAGCAGGAGGAGGAGGAGGAGGAGGAGGAGGAGGAGGAAAAGGAGGAGGAGGAATACTAATACGAACAACAAGAATCCGCATTATAAGAATTATCCCAGTGCGACCCTACCTAGGAGTTGAAGCCCCTAGGAAAGCAGCATAAGCAAAGCTCAGCTAAGCTAAGCTAAGCTAGGCTAGGCTAGGCTAAGCTAAGATGGGCTAAGCTAAGCCAAGCTAAGCTAAGCTAGGCTAAGCTAAGCTGAAATGAGGTGAGATAGGCTAAGCTAAGCTTGGCTAGGCGAGGCTAGGCTATGGTGAGATAAGATGAGATAGTATAAGCTAAGCTGGGCTAAGCTAAGCTACGCTAGGCTAGGCTAAGCTAAGCTAAGCTATGTTATGCTGAGATGATATAAGCTAAGCTAAACTAAGCTAAGCTAAGCTAAGCTAAGCTAAGTCCCGCCAAGGTAAGCCCAGCCAAGCTAAGCTAAGATGAGATAAGCTAAGCTAAGCTAAGCTAGGCTAGGCTAGGCTAAACTAAACTAAGCTCAGCTAAGCTAAGCTAAGATGAGATAAGCAACGCTAAGCTAGGCTAAGCTTAGTTTAGCTAAGTTAGCGAAGTTAAGCTAAGCTAAGCTCACCAAGGGGGCGCGGGGGGATCCTGGGGGAACCGCGGGGCGGATACTGGGGGAACCGCCCGGGGCGGGCCCCACTGCCCGGCCCTTTAAGCTGCCGAGTAAGAACCGTTCTAGGCAGAGCCTAGGTAGGGAATAGCAAGAGGGGAGGAGGTGGGGAAGAATGGAGGACGGCGAAGCGATGATTGATTTGGCGCCCTCAGAAGCAGCGTGCCGCAGCTGTGGGTTCTGCATGGCCGGCTTGGGGGAAGAGGAGGAGGAGGAACAAGTGGAGGAGGAGGAGGAGGAGGAGGAGGAGGAAATAGGAGGGAGGAGGAAATAGGAGGGAGGTGGAGGAGGGAGGAGGATGAGGAGGAGGCTGGAGTAGGAAGAGGAAAGAGGAGGAGGAGGAGGAGGAGGAGGAGGAGGAGGAGGAGGAGGAGGAGGCAGGAGAGAAGGTACGAGGGAGAAGGGGGTGGAGGGGCAGGATGACGGGGAGTAGCAGAGTCCAGCCGAGGAAGGGGGGAAGGGAGGGAGGAGGAGGAGGAGGACGGAGGACAGAAGAGGAGGAGGAGGAGGAGGAGGGAGGAGGGAGGAGGAAGAAGGAGGTTGGAGGAGGAGAGGAGCAGGGTAAGCGGTTGGAGGAGGAGGGCGAGGAGAAGGAGGAGGAGGAGGAGGAGGAGGAGGAGGAGGAGGAGGAGGAGCGTGCCCTCTGCCCCTCTGGCTCGGATCGAGGCACCCGCACACGGCCACGGCCCCGCCAGCACAGCCAGAGGTCGCCCGCCCGCGTGCCGCCCTTCCCCTCGCGAGATGGCGGCCGAGTGCGGCTGCGCCCCGCTCCTGGAGCTGGCGAGGAGCAGGCTGCAGGGGCGCCGCGCTGCGGGCGCCGAGAGGGGCCAGGACCGCGAGGGCCCCAAGAGCTGGACGAGGGGACCAGGCCGATCGAGCTCCCGCGGCCCAGAGGCAGAGCGGGCTCCCGCGCACGGCCCCTCCTCTCTTCTGTCGACACGTCCCCCTCCCCCCCCCCTCCGTCCGAGCACATTCGACGGGCCAGGAGGCGGTAATTACCCCCCCCGCCCTTCCTGTTCTCCCCTCCTGGGGCGACTCCCCAGCAGAGGAGGCAAGATGTTTGTGTACCTCCCTCCCAAAACCTGTCCCCAGATCAACGACATCATGATTCTTTCATGGCGTCGACCCCCCCAGAGGTCTTGACTCACTCCCTGGGGCCAGCTTTTCATCCTGACTGGTTGTTGGACGGACCCGAGGGCCGGCGAGGGCCCCCAGAGGCCGGAAACGTCCAACAACCTTCCGTGCTTTTTTTGTTCACGACGCGAGCATGCCTGGGTCCACCATCTCCTCCGACCTCCTCGGCCTACTCCCTTCCACCCCGCGACTGCTGGGCAAGCAAGGACCATCAGGACCCCAAGACCACCCCGACCGTGGCCGACGAGGAAGTCAACGCCCTGGCGATCGACCGCTCTGACGAGCAGGCCGCGGGCCAAGAGGCCGCAGAGACGAGGGAGCGCCTGGAGGCCGAGGGCGACCGGGCGGAGCTCGAGAGCTTCAAGGAGCAGCTCCACGAGCTCGTCGGCAGGCTCCGCGAGGCCGAGAGCGCCGGCGACGGCCTGAGGCAGCAGCTGGCCGAGGAGCGCCTGCAGTCCGAGCGGCACCGGCAGGACACCATGGAGCTCCGCGTGAAGGCCGAGGTCCTCCAGGACCTCGGGCAGAGCCCGGGCTTGCCCACGTCGGGCCCAGACCAGTGGCAGTTGGCCTTCGCGGGGGGCTCCCTCGCTGGCCCGGCGGGGCGGAGAGCTCGGAAAGCTGGCGCGTCTGGGCCCCGGGAGCGCCCTGCTCCGCTGCAGGGATGTCTGGCCGCAGGCGGGTTCTGTTCCCCCCTATCCCCGAGCTCCGCCCGAAGAATTGGCACTCTGGGATGCACCCCAAAAGGGGGCTTGTCGGACGCACCCCATATCGAGGATGGATGCCCCCCCATTGTGCATCCCAGGATTGGACCCCAAATTTGGGGTCCATTCGAGCCCCCACGAAGCCTGGGATTCAGAGGAGCACGAATTATGGATTTGGGTAGTTTCCAAGAGTTTCAGGTTTTCCCGTCCTTCCGCGCGGGCTCCGGGGACGAATGGTCGAGCGCATTGCGTCGCGCAGGTTCTTGGCGTGATGTGCGCGGTGCATTTTCGCGCATCGGAGCGCCCTTCTAGATTGCAAGCTGGATTCTATTTTGCTTTTTGGGGGTCTGCGAGTCGCAGCTGCCATGGGTAAAGCCTTCGAGTGCCGTTCGTGGGCGCAGGGCGCGGTGCGCGCTGCGCCCAATCTCACGCAGCGCGGTGCGTGAATCAGCCGGTTTCGCCCGTCAGACCGTCAGGAAATTATTTCTGGATTGTAAAATGTTTCAAACAAATGCGCGGCCGTTTTTGTGCAAAAGCGGTTCCGGGATTTTTCAAAAACGAGTCCAGCAATTTTAAAGAAGCAGTCCTGACGGGTGGAATTCGCCCGCCGCGCAGGACATCTGAAGAATTCTGAAGTCCGGAAGTTTTCAAAAGGGTTTCCGGAGTTTTGGTCAGCATCGATTCCGAGATTTGTCAAAATCGGTTCTAGAAATACAAAGTAAGCCGGATAGTTGCATAAACGTTCCGGTTTTTTTTCCAAATCTACCCTTTGGGGAATGTTGGAGACTCGCGTGTGATTTGCTTTGCCAGTTCTTTGGACATCCGCCGAGGCGCGCAGCGCGCGGCGGCGGGCGACGGGCCCCCCCCCCCCGCGCTCGGCGACGAGAAGGGGGATCGGCAAGTGCCAAATAGCCCTCTGCGGGCGACTGCCCTCAAGGGAGGAAGAACCACCCAGACCGGACAATTGGCGTTTACTAAACGACCCTGGGCGTTTACTAAACAGCCCCGCCCTGTTCGATTTCTTATTTGGGTGCGTTTACTAAACGGCTTCGCTTGTCGGGGTGGTTATGATCGGGGTGGATTTTCTGCCCTCTATACCCGAGTGCGAATGGGTGACCGATCAGCGGCGCAAGGCAGAGTAGGCACTATTCGACGCAAGCTGTACCCCGCGCGAGGGCTGTTAGAAACTCGGGAATCCCCGAAACGTATCAACCACAAGGTGTGTCAATAGATTCTTCTCGCCTTAGGAATGGGGGTCCACATATCCCCTGCTATGTGGATGTCATGGCCAAGGCACTGGAATCTCCCAGGCTTCCTGAGCACGCGCTTCCGCGCGCACCCTTATAGGGATCCATAGTGCGCTAGCCCCCACTCTTCTGTGACCTTCCAGGAGGGCTAAGCGATAGCACCAGGACCTCGACATCTAAATCCCCGTCGAGGAGTCTAGATCGGTCTATTGGATGTTATTGTTTGGCACTCTGGAAAATGTCCTGGCCCTCCTCACTGACATCCAGGGATGTGTCTTTCACCCACGTTCGGCCCCCGAGGTCTCGACCCCTTCCTCCTGGGGGAGCTCTCTGCCCCACACGCCCGGGGCAGGACAGCGGGCCCCGGGGGCCGCAATCGAAGAACATCCCCCGGACTTTTAAACAACCCCCCACTCTCGTCTACCACAGAAAACACTTTGGAGGTGTGGGCCCCGGAAACGGCAGGGCCGTTTTTTCACCGTTTCCAAAAAAATGTCTTTTTGAAAATGGAAACGGCAAAAAAACGGCGACCAGAAACAGCAAAAAAACGGCTCCAGGATTGGAACCGGAGCCAGAACCGGTCAAACAACGGCGACGGAACCGGTAAAAAACCGACGTCGGAACCGGCAACAAAAACGGCAAAACGGAACCGGTAAAAAAACGGCCTTGTCGTTTCCAGGGCCCACTCAGCCCCCCGCCTCGGCACACCCCCCGATGGGCTGGTGGTCCGGTGCAGCCGGGCGCTGGTCCTTTTCAGGAGCAGCTGGAGTGCTCGACGGTCGAGGTGTCCAAGCTGGCCAAGCTGCAGCGCGAGCAGGCGTCAGGGGCAACGTTTTTGTTGGGGGCGGAGGGGCTTGGGGGGCATGACCCCTGCATCGCCCATCCATCCCGATGGCACATTCCGCCCAGGACGAGACCATGCGCCGTGGGCGAAAGACATGTCCGTATCCGCGGCCTCGCGGGCCGGGCCCCTGGGACGCGAGGCCGCGGATACGGGGCATGTTGTTCGCGGATGCCTCGCGCGGAACGTATCAGTGCGACCCGCGTGTCCGTCGGCTCGTGCCTTGGAATCCAGACCGCGAGGGCGCGGATACGACTATGTTCTCCGATCGTGCGAATCGCGATCGGGGGCCTGTCGCCGATCCATCGACGATGTGTCGCCGATTAAAGCTCGATGTTCCTTCAGATCGGGCGCTGCAAAACAACATGCACCATAACAAACAACACGACTGGAGCCCCGGGCCCAATCTTTTTACGTTATTCCTCGAGCCAGATCGATCTGTGAGGGTCCCGCCGCCCGAAACCAGGCGAAACCGACCCGCTCAAGAAGACTCGAGACTCCAGGACCTCCGGGCTGCCCTCCCTGAACCGTTCCCTCCTGAGGCTGGCCTCGTCCTCGAGATACGCCGCCTGAAGTCCTTGGCCGACGAGCGCGAGGTCGTCTGCCAAGCCCAGGCGCTGGAGCTGGAACGCCGCGCCCTCGCCGCGGCACCTCGGAGGGGGAGAACCTGGACACCCTCGGCTGCCGCCGCCTCCTCTATCGGGCGGGTGGCAACTGGGGGTGGCCTGACTGGCGGGTGAAAGAAAGGGGCCCCATAGAGGGGCCTCTTTCTTGTTCGCCCCCTTTCTGGGCAATTTACCACCCGCCCGACTTTGGGATCTCCTTGGCGGTGTTCGTCGGCCCTCGGAGGGCTCCCAGCCTCTCGGGCCGAGCGAAAGGGGGGGATTGGGAAAGGGGGGGTTACGACATCTGCTGCATGCAGCTGGTTTCGGCCCCACCGAGGGGCCCCAGTCCTTGATACATGGTCGCCTCCCGGCGCCGGGAGGCGCCGGGAAAATCAGCTACGTGAGCTGATTCTCGAACCCCCCCTTTGCTATCCCCCCCTTTCGCCCGGCCCGAGCCTCGGGGTGCCCGCAGCTGCGCCCTGCCGAGGGCGCTCCGGCGGGCGCCCGCATCCGCCCGAACGGCCGCCGGAGGCCCGCGTCGTCACCCAACGGGCCCGAAGGCCAGGCGCGATCGCGCCGTGAGGCAGTCGCGACGGAAGGCCTTCCCGTTTTGGACCTCCAGGCAGGAGGAGGAGGACAAGGAGGAGGAGGAGGAGGAGGAGGAGGAGGAGGAGGACGAGGATAGGGGGAGGAGGATGGAGAACCGGAGGAAGATGGCCTCCCCTGGGCCCTGGGGCCGTCAGAAGTTGCCTCAGGATGAAAATTATGGTCGCAGGGAGAAGGTCCAGACCTCCAGGGAGCCAAGTTGCGAAGCCCACCACAACGTCGGAGGTCTGGGAAGGCATTCGATGCCTCCACGGCTGGGCTTGCCTCCAGACCATGGTCAGACAGCAATGGTTCCGGCGAGCGGTAAAAGGGAGCAGGTTCGATGTTTTTGGTTCGAGAAGGGTTTACCCCACCATCCTCTGGTGTTGGGTCTTCGTTTCGAAGAGACGGCGCCCCGCACTCCTTCTTTCCTTCTTCATTCCTCCCCCTTCTATCTCCAATTATCATCAGAATCAACAGCAGCAGCATCATCGACGTCTTTTTTCCCTACCTAGGCTCTGCCTAGAAGGGTTCTTACTCTGTTAGCTAAAGGGGCCGGGCAGTGCAACACGCCCCGGGTGGTTCCCCCAGTCCCCGCCCCGCGGTTCCCCCAGTTGCGCCCCCTGGGTTCACCCAGTTTAGCTTAGCTTATCTTATCTCATCGTAGCTTAGCTTAGCTTAGCTTTGTCTAGCCTAGCTTGGTTTAACTTAGCTTAGCTTAGCTTAGCTTAGCTTAGCTTAGCTTATCTCATCATAGCTTAGCTTAGCTTAGCTTGGCTTGGCTTGGTTTAGCTTAGCTTAGCCTAGCTTAGCTCAGCTTAGCTTAGCTTAGCATAGCTTCGCTTACCTTAGCTTAGCGCAGCGCAGCATAGCGCAGCGCAGCATTATCACAGCATAGCATAGCATGGCATGACCAAGCATAGCATAGCATAGCATAGCATAGCTCATACTAACAAAGCATATCATAGCATAGCATAGCATAGCATAGCGCAGCACAGCATAGCATAACATAGCATAACAATGCTTAGCATAGTACGGCATAGCATAGCATAGCACAGCATAGCGCAGCATAGCATAGCAGAGCAGAGCATAGCATAGCATAGCATAGCGCAGCATCGCATATCATAGCATAGCCTAGCATAGCATGGCATAGCGCAGCATAGCATAGCATAGCATAGCGCAGCATATCATATCGTAGCATAGCGCAGCATAGCATAGCATAGCATAGCCTGCTATGCTAGCATAGCCTCCAATGCTCCTAGGAAAGTGCATGTGTAGATGTAGGTGTAGGTGTAGATGTGGATGTAGGTGTAGATGTAGATGTAGATGTAGGTGTAGATGTAGATTTAGATGTAGATGTGAGTCTCGCTGTTGATGTAGATGTACATGTAGATGCAGGTGTAGATGTAAATGTAGCTGTCGGTGTAAATGTAGATGTTGCTTTCCTAAATGCTCCAACTCCTAGGTAGGGTCGCACTGGGATAACTCATCATCAACATCATCATCATAATCATCATCATCGTCATCATCATCAGCATCAGCATCGTCATCATCATCATAATCAGACCCATCATCATTATCATCATCATCATCAGCAAAATCAGCACCATCACCATCATCATCAGCATCATCAGCATCATCAGCATTAACATCATCGTCATCATCATCGTCATCATCATTACTACCGCCACCACCACCACAATCATCATCAGCATCATCATTATCAGTTTCATCATCAGCAGTATCACAATTATTAGCATCAGCATCATCATCACCAGCAGCATCTTCATCATCACCAACAACAGCAGTATTTTCATCATAGTCATCACGGCCGTCAGAATCACCATCATCGTTATCATCGTCGTCTTCGTCACAAGCATCGCTATCAGCTTCGAAACGCCCTTAACACGTTTGGTGCCCCCATTGGAAGCTCCACCGAAGGGCCTAGTGGCGGTATCCACATGCGTCCGCGCCAAACATGCTGGCACACCCGTTACACGCTTCGTGGCCCCATGGGGAGCTCTATCGAAGGCCCCAGTGGCACAGTCCGCATAGCGCACCCGCACCCGATTCGCCACACCCCTCACACATGTCGTGGCCCCATGAGGAGCTCCGCCGAAGGACCCAGTGGCACAGTCCGTAGGGCGCACCCGCGCCCAATCCGGCACACCCCTCACACGTTTCGTGGCTCCATAGAAGAAGCTCCACCGATGGCCCCAGTTGCACAGTCCGCATGGCGTCGCCCTTGGCAGAGTGCGTGCGGTCTCAGGCCGCCATTGTTGACCTCCCGCGGCGGCCCAAGAGGGGCAGCTGCGATCGTGTCAGGCGTCTCGTGCGGACGGCGCTCGCAGCGAACGTCGCGTACGCGATGAGAAACATGAAAACCCCAGCGGCACAGTCCGAATGGCGTACCCGCTCCCGATTCGGCAAACCTCTCACACGTTTCGTGGAGCTCCGACGCAGGCCATAATGGCACAGCCCGCATGGCGTACCCGCACTCGATTCAGCACACTCCTCAAAAGTGTCATGGCCCAACAAAGAGTTCCATCGAAACCCCCAGTGGCACAGTCCGCATGGCGCACCCACACACGATTCGGCATGCACTCCAGCGCTTCATGGCCCCATGAGGAGCTCCACCGAAGGACCCAGTGGCACAGTCCGCAGGACGCACCCGCGCCTGATTCGGCACACCTCTCACACGCTTCGTGGCCCCATGAGTGGCTCTACCTCAGACCCCAGTGGCAGCGCCCGCTTGGCGGCCCCGCCCCTTTTCCGCACACCCTTGACACCCTTTGTGGCCCCATAAGGAGCTCCACCGAAGGCGATACCCACAACGACGGTATTCACAACTGCATATGGTTGGGCCTTTCGCCAGGATAATTAATTTTTCAGCCATCAGGGGCCGTTTCTGGGCACCGGGGCCAGAAAAAACATATACGCCGTGAAATTCTCGGGCGAAAAATGTATCCATACGCAGTTGTGAATATCGCGAGGCAGGTGAGGTTGAGGCAGGGGCAACCAAAAAGACCGCGGCATCCAAAGTGCACCTACCCTGGGCCTTTCGGTGGAGCTCCCTGTGGGGTTGTTGGGTCATGAAACGTGAGGGGTGTGCTGGATCGGGTGCGGGTACGCCATGCGGACTGTGCCGCGGGGGCCTTCATTGAAGCTCCTTCTGGGTCCACGAAAGGTGTGAAGGTTGTGCTGGACCTGGCGCGGGTACTCCATGCGGGTTGTGCCGCTGGGGCCTTCGGTGGAGATCCCTACAGGTCTGTTTTCGGTGGAGGCCCCCTTTGGGTCACGACATGTGAGGGGTGTGCCAAATCGGGAACGGGAACGCCATGCGGACTGTACCACTGGGTCTTTCATTAGGAAAGCGCGCCACTGCATCAGCATGTAATGAAAATGGGGGGGGTGTTCGCAGAGCCCCCACCCCCATCCCCCCCTTCAAACGTGGGGGGAGATTGTCGCCTCCCCCCCGCTATCCCCCCTTTTAAAGAGGGGGAGGCGTTCCGGAGGGAAGGGGTTCGGATCCCCCCCCCTTCCTCCCCCCCTTGGCGCTGGAAGGGGGGGGGGGTCGGACCCCCCCCACCCCTCCCCCCCTTGGCGCCGAACAGGGGGCCAGGGATGGGGCCTCTCCCGCAAGGGGGGGGGTCAGGCCTCGGGATCTTTCGATTTTAGTGGTGAGTAGAGAGTAGCGACTAGGAAGTAGTGAGTAGTGAGCAGTGAGTAGTGAGTAGAAAATAGCGAGTAGTGAGAAGTGACTAGTGAGTAGCGCAGCGCGTAGTAAGTAGTGAGTAGTTAGTAATGAATAGTGGGATGTGTGGAACAGGTAGTCACTAGTGAGTAGCGAGTAGTGTGTAGTGGGTAGCGAGTAGGGCGTTGTGAGTAGTGAGGAGTGAGTAGAGGGTAGTGAGTAGAGAGTAGTGAGTAGAAAGTAGTGGTTAGTGAGTAGTGAGTGGTGGGTAGGGGGGGATGGGTAGTGACTAGTGAGTAAAGAGTAGAGAGTAGCGAGAAGTGAGTAGTGAGTCGCGAGTAGTGCGTTGTGATTAGTGAGTAATGAGGAGGGAGTAGACAGTAGTGAGTAGTAAGTACGGAGTAGTAAGTAATAAGTAGGGAGTAGCGAGTAGTGGGTGGTGAGTTGTGAGTAACGAGTAGTGTGTAGTGAGTAGTGAGTAGTGAGTGAGTAGTGAGAAATGGGTCGTCAGTAGTGGGTTGTGAGTAGGCAGTAGCGAGTAGTGAGTAATGCGTAGTGAGTAGTTCGTCATGAGTAGTGACTAGTGACTCGTCCCAAGTTACTCATGAGTAGCGAGTTGTGAGTTGGGAGTAGTGGGTAGCGAGTACTGAGTAGCGGGTAGTGCGTAGCGCGTATCGGGTAGCGAGTAGCGAGTAGGGAGTAGCGAGTAGTGAGGAGTGAGTACTGTGTAGGGAGTAGCGAGTAGCGCGCACTGGTTAGTGAGTAGTGAGTTGTGGGCAGTGGGTAGTGAGCCGTGAATTTCGAGTATTCAGTAGTGAGTAGTGAAGAGTGGTTAGTTGGTATTGAATAGGTAGTAGTGAATAGTGGGTCGTGAATAATGTTTTGCGAGTAGTGAGTATTGAGTAGTGTGTAGTGCGTAGTGAGTGGTGAAAAGTTAGTTGGGAGTAGCGAGTAGAGAGTAGTGAGTAGTGAGTAGTCGGTAGGGGGGTGAGTAGTGAGTAGTGAGTCTTGGGTAGTGAGTAGTGAATAGTGAGATGTGAGTAGTGAGTAGTGAGTAGTGAATAGTGAGTAGTGAGTAGTGTTTGGGGCTAGGGTTAGTGGTTCGGGTAGTCGTGAGGACAAGACTCCCTCCCCGCTCGCAAGCCGTCTCGCTCACTCCCACCCGCCCTCCCAACACATACGTAGCACCCGGGTTTGGCCCGAGCCTCAGCATATTCAGCAGTCGTCTTTGGATAGGCAGCTACTGGGGGCCAATCCGCCGCCGCCGCCGCCGCCTCCGCCGCCGCCGCCGCCGCCGCCGCCTCCGCCGCCGCCGCCGCCGCCGCTGCCCGCCGCCGCCGCCGCCGCGCCGCCCGCCGCCGCCGCCGCAGTCGCCTCCGCCGCCGCGCCGCCCGCCGCCGCCGCCCCGGTTGCCAAATCGCCGCCGCCGCAGCCGCTGCCGCCGCAGCCGCTGCCGCCACCGCCGCCGCCGCCGCCGCCGCCAAGTGTACTTTGCATTGTTTTTTGGCAGGGATGGTGGGGGGGAGCCATCAGGGTTCGTGGTGGACTACCAGTCGCCTGGGGGAGGGCTAAAAAAGATGATATGTTTCTAGTGGGGTCAAAAGAGAGCATCTTGACACCCCACGGGCGGTTTGGGCGGGATTCGGACGGGTGCCGCGGGAATCCGTTTTTTTTTTTTTTTTTTTTTTTTTTTTTTTTTTGCGAGCAGTAACGCACTTCGTGGTCTTCGAGTTCCCAGAACTCCATTCCTGGGCATGATTTTGAATGCCCGGAGCCAACTGTAGGCCACTTCGTGTTCTTCGCGTTCCCAGAACTCCACTCTTGGGGATGATTTTGAATGCCCAGAGCCAACTCTAGGCCACTTCGTGGTCTTCGAGTTCCCAGAACTCCGCTCCTGGGCATGCTTTTGAATGCCCCGAGCCAACTGTAGGCTACTTCGTGGTCTTCGAGTTCCCAGAACTCCACTCCTGGGAATGATTTCGAATACCCCGAGCCAACTGTAGGCCACTTCGTCTTCTTCGAAATCCCAGAACTCCATTCCCGGGCCACATTTTGAATGCTGAGGCAGGCTGATGATGAGGCTGAGGCTGAGGCTGAGGCAGGCTGAGGCTGAGGCCGAGGCTGAAGGCAGACTGAGGCTGAGGCTGAAGCAGGCTGAGGCTGAGGCAGGCTGAGGCTGAGGCTGAGGCAGGCTGATGCTGAGGCAGGCTGAGGCTGAGGCTGAGGCTGATGCAGGCTGAGGCTGAGGCAGGCTGAGGCTGAGGCCGAGGCTGAAGGCAGACTGAGGCTGAGGCTGAAGCAGGCTGAGGCTGAGGCTGAGGCTGAGGCAGGCTGAGGCTGAGGCTGAGGCAGGCTGATGCTGAGGCAGGCTGAGGCTGAGGCTGAGGCTGATGCAGGCTGAGGCTGAGGCAGGCTGAGGCTGAGGCCGAGGCTGAAGGCAGACTGAGGCTGAGGCTGAAGCAGGCTGAGGCTGAGGCTGAGGCAGGCTGAGGCTGAGGCTGAGGCAGGCTGATGCTGAGGCTGAGGCTGAGGCTGAGGCTGAGGCTGAGGCAGGCTGAGGCTGAGGCCGAGGCTGAAGGCAGACTGAGGCTGAGGCTGAAGCAGGCTGAGGCTGAGGCTGAGGAGGCAGGCTGAGGCTGAGGCAGGCTGAGGCTGAGGCTGAGGCTGAGGCTGAGGGCTGATGCAGGCTGAGGCTGAGGCAGGCTGAGGCTGAGGCCGAGGCTGAAGGCAGACTGAGGCTGAGGCTGAAGCAGGCTGAGGCTGAGGCTGAGGCAGGCTGAGGCTGAGGCTGAGGCAGGCTGATGCTGAGGCAGGCTGAGGCTGAGGCTGATGCAGGCTGAGGCTGAGGCAGGCTGAGGCTGAGGCCGAGGCTGAAGGGCTGAGGCTGAGGCTGAAGCAGGCTGAGGCTGAGGCTGAGGCAGGCTGAGGCTGAGGCTGAGGCTGAGGCAGGCTGAGGCTGAGGCAGGCTGAGGCTGAGGCTGAGGCTGAGGCTGAGCTGCTGAGGCTGAGGCTGAGGCTGAGGCTGAGGCAGGCTGATGCTGAGGCAGGCTGAGGCTGAGGCTGATGCAGGCTGAGGCTGAGGCAGGCTGAGGCTGAGGCCGAGGCTGAAGGCAGACTGAGGCTGAGGCTGAAGCAGGCTGAGGCTGAGGCTGAGGCAGGCTGAGGCTGAGGCTGAGGCAGGCTGATGCTGAGGCAGGCTGAGGCTGAGGCTGAGGCTGATGCAGGCTGAGGCTGAGGCAGGCTGAGGCTGAGGCCGAGGCTGAAGGCAGACTGATGCTGAGGCTGAAGAAGGCTGAGGCTGAGGCTGAGGCAGGCTGAGGCTGAGGCAGGCTGAGGCTGAGGCTGAGGCAGGCTGAGGCTGAGGCTGTGACTGCGACTGCCGTTGCCACTGCGACTGTAATCGCGAATGCGACTACGACTGCGAGATCAGTAGAATTCTACAGCTGGATTCTCCTCTGAATCTTAAGGGGAATGCTTCCAGATATGCTCCTACACATCGCTGTTAGGTTGCTTTGCCGGGATAATATTAAGAGGGAACAGCGATTTAGTGTTTGGGGTGGCGGGGACCGGGTTTGCGAGCCAGGGGGCGCCGTGGCGAAATGGGGGAGGGGGGGGGGTCGAATTTGGCGGCCAATGGGGGGGAGGTGGGGGGGGGGCCCGGACCCCCCCCCGGTGTTTTGAAAGGGGGAGAGGGGGACGTCCCCGACGACGGACCGGGAAAGGGGGGGAGGGGGGGTTGGCTTCCCCGACGGCGGACTGGGAAGGGGGGTGGAGGGGGGGGGTCCCCGACGACGGATCGGGGAACGGGGGGGGAGGGGTTCCCCCCCCCCCCCCTTGGGGAGATCCAGCGGCGCGCCCTCCTTCATTTGAGCTCCTTGTCGGGCATTGTGCCGAATCAGGTGCGGGTACGCCGTGCGAGCTGTGCCAGTTGGGCCTTCGATTAGGCTCCTTGTCGGGCCACGACTGGTGTCAGGGGTGTGCCGAATCAGGTGCCGGGTGCGCCATGCGGACTGTGCCACTGGGGCGTTCGGTGAAGCTCTTTCTGGATCCACGAAGCGTGTGAATGGTGCCGAACTGGGCGCAGGTCGGCCATGCGGGCTGTTCCATTGGAATGTTCGGTGGAGCTCCCTATGGGGCCACGACACGTGTGAGAGGTGTGCGGAATCTTTTGCGGGTGCGACATACGGACTTAACAGTGGGGCCGTCGGTGGAGCTCCGTATGGTGCCACGAAGCGTGCAAGGGGTGTGACGAATCGGGTGCTGAGACGCCATGCGGACTGTGCCTTTGGGGCCTTCGGTGGAACCCCCTATTAGTCCACGATGCATGTTGTGTTGGGCGTGCCGAATTGTGTGCGGGTGCACCATTCGGAATGTGCCGCTGGGTCCGTTGGTGGAGTCTTTATGGGGCTACGGCGCGTGTGAGGGATGTGCCGAGATGGATAATTATGCGAGGGACGGAGTGCTGAGGCACGGCTCGGAGGAGGGAGCGGGAGAAGGAGAACGGCGGGACGCGGGGCGTTGTCTGTTCAAAACGAGGACCCAACACCACAGGATGGTTGGAACACATTTGCACCACATTGACCCCAGGAAGGGTCTGGGGACAGGTGTTGGTCGTTGAGCGGATTTCACCTCGCACTCTTGATTGATGTTCTGGCACCACAACCAGTTCACCTTGGGCGACAAACATACGTATCCGCGACCTCGCCGACCAGACCCTGGAGCGGCGATCTTGCGGATACGGAGTGTTTTTGTTCGCTGATGCCCCACGCGGAATGTACCCGTGCGACCGCGTATCCGGTGGTTCGCGTCCCGGAGTCCAGACCGCGAGGGCGCGAATACGGATACGTTCGCCGCCCGTGAGGAAACAAAGCGCTCTTGCATCCCTCGATCACGGGCGTCCTCTGCACGCTCTCTGCTTCCTCGGTCAAGTAAGTGCGCCCTGTCGTCTCGCCGCGCTCTGGGTGGTCTGCATCCTTATACTCCCTCCTTGTGGCCGACGTTGGCTGAACGCGTGTCCCCGGGCCGCATATGGACTCCCGGGGGCCCCATCCGGTTCAGACCCCCGGGCCGCCTCCAACCCGCAGGCGATGGCCGTGCAGGGGCCGTTGTCGGACGAGGCGTGCTCCACGCCCGGCGTGCAGGACGACGGCGTGGACATGGCCGAGCGCTCCGATGAGGACCGGCGGTGCGCGCACCGGGGCGGGGTGGGGCCGGCCGCTGGTAAGTTTCCGCTTGTTCCCGTTTCCGCGGCGGATGGCCCGGTACTATCTGGTTTGAGCAGTTCGCGGGGGGTTCGAAGACGAATCGTCGAAACCATGTCGGAATGGCGCAAAAGCACGCGTATCGCAACCAATGTTGCCGAGTCTGTACGAGTTTGCGTGGGCGGCCACCTCTGAGAGGGGCGGGGGGGAGGCACAGTCCCGCTCCAAGCTGGGAGCCCACACCGCGAGAGGCCCCGGCCGCAGGCGAGATAAATGCGCTTCTCGGGGCAAGTTCGGAGATGCCGCAACGGGAAAAAATCGGAGACAGCAGGGGCCCTCCTGGAGAAGGGCCAGTGCAGCTGCCGAGAAGCGGTCTCCCGGATAAGCCCCGGAGTGTGGTGGTCCTGAGAGGCCGCCTGCCTTCCCGCGCCCTCGCAGGAGGCCGCCCGCCTGGCCCCCCCACTGCATTTCGAGCCAGGGCCTATCCGTTTATGCCACCTGGAAGCCGATCTTCCTGGACCTCGGGATACGTTTGGGAACCCAGGTGGTCTACATACATATGTGTATATGTATATATATATATATATATATGTATATATATATATATATATGTATACAAACATATGTTGCTATATGTGTATGTGCTTGACTCGAAATGGATACAAGTATATATATATATATATATGAAAGATACCCATATCAGCCGCTCCCTGAGACCCCAGGGCATAGGCGGCAGATGACAATCTTGCGGCAGAAAACTACCCCCTAGGGAGCCCGCGTTCACAGTTCACGATGGTAGGCCTCGACGTGCCACCGATTTCGGGCCCAGGATTCCTCACCGAGCAGCGTTTCAGGCAGTATTCTGAACCCTTCTACCTCTACGACTTCACAGTCAAGCTGCCCAGGGAATCTGAACAGACTCCCACCTCGCACTTGTGCGCGCCGCCAGAGAGGAGAGGGAGGAGGGCACGGCTTCCGAGCTGAGCCCAGAGGGGGCCAGGCCGGGGGGGCCAAAAGACAGCTCGACAGCGCCAGCCCCTCGGCCTCTCCAGGGGCGCGTGCTGGCCAGGACCCCGCGGCGAGCCCGGCCGTGGCGCTGAGGGCCGTGCGGGTGAGGGCAGCGGTACTCGTAAGGCCTCGGGCTGCGTGTGCATGGACAGCCCCTAAGGAGGTACCGTAGGTTTGCTTCATTCGGGCCGGACGAAAGGGGGGGATTGGGAAAGGGGGGTTACGAAATTTGCTGCATGCAGGTGGTTTCGGCCTCACCGAGGGGCCCCATTCCTCGATACATGGCCGCCTCCGGCGCCAGGAGGCGCCGGGAAAATCAGCCACGTGAGCTGATTCTCAAACCCCCCCTTTGCTATCCCCCCCTTTCGCCCGACCCGATTCATGGGGAGCCCTGAGATGGGGGTCAGCCAGAGCGCCAGAATCTTGCAGGATCCCGCAGGGCCAGGGGCGCACTGACCCGGGCTTGGGCGCAGGATCCTGCAGGATTTTGCAGGATCCTTCGCCTTGACCCGGGTCTGGGTGCAGGATCTTGCAGAGGATCTTGCAGGATGCTGCAAGGCCTGACCGACCCGGGTCTAGATTGACCCGGGTCAGGAGATCCCGGATTTCAAAAGGCCCCCCAGAAGTTCAGGGCAGCCTGAAAACCAGGGCCCCCGGGCGCGGAGCGCCCCAGCGGCGCCGCCTGGGAGTTGAGACCAACCACGGACCACTCGGCGGGGCTTGGCGAGGCCAGCCCATCCTACTTGGGGGTGCTGTTTGTGCGCAGCCCGAAGCTTTGACAAGCGGCATCGGTGTAGTACCAAGCATACGCCTTCTGATATTTTCAATGCGTGGTCCTAGAAGTTCCGATCCCTTCCGCAGGGCGTGTTTTGCACCCCGAGTCTTTGTTCGACGGTTCCGAGGCTGGGCGAGGTTCCCCAGAGGCCAACAAGGATACAAGCAACGCGCCCGTCGTGGTTTGCCTCTCCTTCACGGCGAGAGCACGTCTGGGTACTCTTTTCCTCCGAAAGGTCGCCCTCGTCGGGCCAGTGGGAGGAGGCGCTGGCGCTCGCCGAGGCGCGGGCCGCCGAGTTCGAGGAGGGCTGGCGGCAGGCCGAGGCCCGGGCCGCCGAGTTCGAGGAGGGCTGGCGGCAGGCCGAGGCGCGGGCCGCCGAGTTCGAGGAGCCCCGCGGGGGAGGAGGAGTAGGAGGAGGAGGAGGAGGAGGAGGAGGAGGAGGAGGAGGAGGAGGAGGAGGAGGAGGAGGAGGAGGAGGAGGAGGAGGAGGAGGAGGAGGAGGAGGAGGAGGAGGAGGAGGAGGAGGAGGAGGAGGAGGAGGAGGAGGAGGAGGAGGAGGAGGAAGGAGGAGGAGGAGGAGGAGGAGGAGGAGGAGGAGGAGGAGGAGGAGGAGGAGGAGGAGGAGGAGGAGGAGGAGGAGAGGAGGAGGAGGAGGAGGAGGAGGAGGAGGAGGAGGAGGAGAGGGAGGAGGAGGAGGAGGAGGAGGAGCTTCGCGGGGCTTGTATGTATAGTTATGTGTGTCAGTACGTCTTGGGCGCCGCTCTTGCCACGCTTTCGGGTCCGGGATCGGCCCAGGGCCCGCCGGGGGGGGGGGCCCGAGGTGGCCCACCACTGGATCGGGCGCGCGGGAAGGGGGGCGAGGTTCGAGGTTCTGGCTTCGAGCACGTGTTTGTTTTCTGCTGCTCCGACCGTCCACAGCGGATCCGGGGCGAAGAATCGTGCCAGGTGGACTTAGGAAGGTCTGGCGACAGATTTGGAACGGATTTGGTGATCCCCCCTGATGGACTGATTTTCTCGAGGCCCGTCCAATTCAGACCAACGGGCCGTCTCCAACTGAACACGTTGTGGTGTGCTTTGTTTTGCACCAGCGTTGTTCTGTTCAACGACGTGTTGGTCCCCTGATTGCTACGTTTCCAGATCCAGGATCGGCTCATGGCGCCCACTTTTTTTAGTGTTCGAAGTATGTATGTTTCACACACACGTCTGTGCACATATACATATATAAATATATGCACACCTTTTGTTCGTATCTGTATATTGACACACACATATACATATTTATATAGATGCACGTATATCTTTACATGTGTATATATGTGTATATGTATTCAGACATGTGTATATACAAATGTATAAAGACACACGTATAGGGAACATGCGTTGCTAGATATCACTATGTCGCCCTCCCGATGCCCACTTTCTGAGATGTCTTTTTTCAGCGCGTCTTGGTGTAGCCAAGGGCGAAATGTGAAACATTGCTTTTTATCATTAGGGTATGCAAACGCAAAATATGTGCCTCTCACGTCCTTAACGGCCCTGGGGCCAGAAACTTGCACTTGGCCCCCGAAACCGAGGAATAACCACCGGAGGAATCTTCTCATCCAGAAGATCTGGACCCCAGAGGTCTGGACCCGCTGCCCGAGACCAGCTTTCACCCGGAGCTGGTTTTCGGCGGTCCCCGGGCCCAGCGAGGCTCCACAGAGGCCGAAAATTATTAGAACCCGTCCGTCATGATTTCTTCACGGCGCGAGGACGTTAGGGAAGGTTGGCCTTTTGTAGGATGCAACTCGTTAGAGGTTGATTTCAGCATCGGCGCTGGTACATAGGTGGTCGGAAGCAGGAAGAATCCGATATCGCCACGCTCAGCTTGGCTCGATCCCTCTTGAAGTAGTTTGTCTTAGTCTGGCTCGATCTAGCTTAATGTGGCCTGCTCCGGCCCTGTATGGCCCCGTTCAACTGCTTTTGAGTTTATCGTTATCACGAAGATGTCCTTTTTGCGGGGGGGCGCCCACATAGCCTATTTGCAAGTGAGTTGCAAGCGAACGTATATCTGTGGCAACCAAAGATGTATATATATATATATGACAAACCGATTTATAAACATGCAAGCAGCAGGCTAACACATTATCAGTCGGACGTCCGTGGCAACTGATTATAAGCCGTCTGCCGACTTACAACCTATGTTTTAAGTTGTCGTTTTTTCGTGGCGTGCGCAAGCCACAAGTGTCCATGCACCTTCATACATGTACATAGAAATGTTTAGCACTGGGGCGCGCGTTCACTCGCTTCAGAGCGGAACGAACGAGTTCCGAGTAAGGTTCCGTGAACTTGACTTAATATGCAAGCGAGCATCGGGATGCAAGCGAGCATCGGCACAGCATTCCGCGAATCAATCCGAACGTTGGCACTCAATTAGATCTTCGACGTCTGGTGACATTCACGCTGCCGCTGGCTTGCGGCGTTATGACTGCGTGCAGTTGTACACGGGGGGGGCATAACAGTGGGGATCGTGAAATTCTTATTGCCATCATCCCGCATGGGCAGGCTTGGCAGGGACGTCTACGTTGTCTTTGATGTGCTTGAGAGACAGGGCCCCTTCAGACGAGTTGGGGCCAAACGGGCCGCGTTGGTTCAGTTGGCCAGTCTGGCGTGGCACGCGTGCCTCCATATCTACAGGTGTACGGGGCCGTCTGACCATTGTTCGCGCAGTGCCCAGAGTTGCAGCGATGACGAAAGAAATGCGTGTCTTTCACCCTCCTCATGCTAAACAATTAAGCAAATATGCACGAACGCGTGAGATAAACAAATAAAGCAATGCTAGCGTTGCAACAAGCTCTTACCACCCTCGTCCTGCTCCCAAATCCCGCGCGGTGCCCCTCGGTGCCTGGCTCGGCGCATGGTTAGTGCCCGCCCCCTTCTCCGCCTCCTCCTCTTGCACCTCCTCTTGCTCCTCCTCCTCCGCCAGCCCGGCTGCGGGCCTCCCTCTCTCTCTCTCTCTCCCTCTCTCTCTCTCTCTCTCTCCCTCATTATCTCTCTCTCTCTCTCTATTTATCCCTCCCTCTCTCTCTCTTTCTCTCCCTCCTTCTCTCTCTCTCTCTCTTTCTCTCTCTTTCTTCTCTCTCTCTCTCACTCTCTCTTCCCTCTCGCTCGCTCTCTCTCTCTCTCTCTCTCTCTCTCTCTCATCGCGCGCGCCTTCTGGTTGGGGCGCTCCCTGGAGCTCTCTGGGGCTCTTCGGTGGAGCCGTCTCGGGGCGCCCGCGGGCCCTCTCGGGCGCTCCTATGGAGGAGCTCGGGGGGGGGCCTCGGAGCTCCAGAAAGGGGGGCCAGGAGGGCACTGGACGTGGTGGCTTTCTCTCGGGGCCCTCGCCGTCGTGGGGCGACGCCGCTGGGCCTACTGAGACAGTTTGGGGAGATTATCCTCTAGCTCAAGACGACCCCATGAGAGGCCCGATAAAGCCCCGAGGGGGCGCTGCAAGTGGTCACTTCGAGGGATGCTCGAGGTGACCACGTCCAACGCCCGATTGGGGCCCGTGTGTGCATACATACATATATATACATAATTAGAGGGAGAGAGAGGAGAGAGAGAGAGAGAGAGAGAGAAAGAGAGAGAGAGAGAGAACGAGAGAGAACTTGAGAGAGAGAGAGAGAGAGAACAAAAAAAAACAGAAAGAGAGAGAGAGAGAGAGAGAGGGAAAGAGAGAGAGAGAGAGAGGGGAGAGAAAGAGAGAGAGAGAAACAATTCAAAAAAGAGAATGACAAAGAGAAAGAGAAAGAAAGAGAGAGAGAGAGAGACCCCTTGAGACGCCTTTCGGCCCTCTCCGACAACCTTGGAGTAGCCCAAGAGAGCATCTCAGGGGCCCACTTGGTGCAGTCCCGGGACTCTATTCGGCCCTCTTGGGCCCCGCCCCTCATGGACACATGTTGGGGCATTCTCGGGGCCCCAGCGGGCCTCTCTCGGAACCCTCCGTGGGGCTCTTGGCACAGCGCAAGCGTCCGCTAATGGTGGGGCCCCTTGGGGCAGAATTGAAACCTCTCGAGGCCTTCTTGGCGCCTGTTTGGGGTCTCAACCGTCGTTTGGCTTCCGGAGTGCCCCAATGGGGCCATGTATCGGGCCTCTGTCGGGGTTGGTTCGCAGCCGCCATGCGTGGGGCGGTCGCGCTGCGAGCGAATCCTTTTTTGATTCAGGATACGGGGCCCAAGCCTTTGCCGCCCGAGGGTGTGACTCCAGCGTGGAAGCTTGGACCTATACGCGTGCACGCTGGAACGATAATGTATGCAGACCAACGCGATCTGTTGGAACAGACGGGATGTTGGGCCACGTCGCGTGATCCAGGAAAAGGGCGTATGCTCAACATGCGGGGTCCTTGGGACATGCCTCGCGTCGCATTCCAGGCATCGCGACAATGCATGCGCAGACATGGGGGCGAAGGTTGGCGAGCGTCAAAGGAGAAGCCCCGTGTGCGCAGGCTGGAGCAAGAAAACCACATTGAACAGTATGCGGCATGGGCTACTGTAACACATGGCTACCACTACGGCTACTTCTGGCCCCACTACTACGGCGGCACATTTGATCCAGCCAGTTGGCAAGTGATCGACGGAGGCATTGGACATCCCAAATGCGCATGTCATCCATACTGTCGCCAGGCGCAGCCCGAGTGTGTTTCTGGCGAGGTAAGCTGACTGAACTGATCTGGACTGAACTGACTGGTCGGACCTGGTAGGAGGCCGCCCAATTCTCGGCGGACGAGGGCGCGACGCAACCTGCGGCGCAAGCAATGGGAGGCAGGTTTGTTCTCGGCGGCCGAGGGCGCAACCCATGGCGCAACCAATGGGAGGCCATGCTATTCCCGCATGACCGACGGCGCAATGGATGGCCCAGAGTCGTTGGCCCTCGTAGCTTCTACGAGGCCACGCCCGATGCATGCTCTTCGTTGGGGCAGGCGGCGGGGCCCAAGCGGCGAGCTGCCTGGCGATTTCAGCCCCATCGGCCTTGGAGTTTCAAGCCGCGCAGTTCAGCGCTGGGGGCCCAGGGCCCGAGAGCCATAGAGAGATTGTCTCGAGGGCACCGGAGCCCCGCTACGAACGCGCGCACATCGTCACCCACATTTACGTGTATCAACCATTTGGGCACGCGTGGACATGTGCGCCTGCACTGCCCCCCGCATCCTCCTGCTCCTCATCCTTTGCGGGCTCCTCCTCCATGGGGCCTCTCCCCCTCCCCTACGTTCCGAGCGCGGAGCAGGGGCAGGTGGGGGCGGGGGGGAAGAGTCGGCCCCGCGGGTTCGGCGGAAGGGTGCCAGAAGGCAAAACCCAGATACCTTCGCTTCAGAAGCTGGCGCGCAACGCTAAAGTGGCCACCAAACAGGAGGAGGAGAAGGAGGAGGGGGAGGAGGAGAAGAAAGAGAAGCAGCAACAGCAGCAGCAACAACAACAGCAAGATACGATCGATGGCAAGGAAATGAGCCCCTTGGGCGCAACCCCGATCGATTTTCACAATGAGGGGGCGGAGCGGTCTTACAAACGGGAGGGCTAGACCCGCGGGGCGAGTCGCACAGCGGGTCGTTAGCGGGTCGCGAGCGCACTGCAGGCGGGTCCGTCCGCGCCCAAACAACTCCGATGTTCTTAGCCCGCGCGAGACAAGCTGACGCAACTTAACTTGAGTTAGTTTCTTTTGCAGGCCACTGTAAAGTGCTATGCCACTATACAGTTACATACAGTTAAGTTTGATTTATAAGCGGCTATTCGTGACTTCCGGACGGCCGAAAAGTTAAATTGTCATAGTTGACCCTACGTTGGCACATATCCGAGCCAAAGCAGAGCGTCTCCAAAGTAGGAGCTTGCTCCTCAGCATTTCGCGAGGGCGGTCTCCTCCTCAGGCTTCCCGGATGCCTGGGGCCCGAGCAGGCGGCGTCGGAGGATCGCGCCGCCTCACCAACCGCCGATGCCTCGGCGACGCGGCGTGATGCGGATCGCCCCACCGCGCCGATGCGTCGCCCACGCGGCCGGTGCGTCGCCAATGCTCCCTGGCGGTGCAGCGGCGGCGCGGCGCGGACCCCGAGGCGGCCTCCTCCTCCTCTCCTCCTCCTCCTCCTCCTCCTCCTCCTCCTCCTCCTCCTCCTCCTCCTCCTCCTCCTCCTCCCCCTCCTCCTCCTCCTCCTCCTGCTCCTCCTCCTCCTGCCTCCACTGCAGGAGGGCTGGCGCCAGGCCGAGGCGCGCGCCGCCGAGCTCGAGGAGGGCTGCCGCCAGGCCGAGGCCCGGGCCGCCGCGCTCGAGGAGGGGGCCGAGGAGCACCACCGCCGAGGGCCGCCCAACGCGCCCGGGGGGTCGACGACGGCGACGGCGACGGCGGCGACGGAGACGGCGAAGACGAGGACTCATGCCCACGCGTGCTTGCGTCGTGAAGAGGTCATGGGGGGGGGTCTTCGGCCGTTTTCGGCCCCCGGGGGCCCTCGCTGGGCTTCGGGGCCGTTGAGGAAGGACTCGGGACGAGAAGCCGGCCTCGGGGAAAGGGTCGGGACTTCCAGGACCCCGCGTTGAAGAAATCAAGACATCGCACGTGTGGGTTCGAGGTTCGAAGTTTTAGGTTTTCGGTCGTTTTCGTCGTCTTCGGAGGTTTTCCAGCCTTGGGATGCCTTCTAGCGGCTGCGCCTCGCCGAGGGCGTTCCCGGGGTCCCCAGACCGTCCCGAACGGCCACCGGAGCGCCGAGTTATGGCCCGACACCAAAGGGGCGACTGCGTCAACAACGACGACGGCGACGACGACGGCGACAGCAACAACGGCGATGACGGGGACGACGATTGCAGCGACGCCCCTGAGATCTGGGCGTCGTAATTTTCAAACCGTGAGGTTTTCCTATGTTTCGGGCCCCGGCACCCGCACGGATCGATGTGGCTCGAGAATGGCCGCAGGAAGATTAGGTTTAGGCCTCGGGTCGTGAGTGTTCGCGATGCTGCAATTTTTCAAAATGTCGGATCTCAAGGGGGTCGGCGATTGCGACAGCGACGACGGCGGCGACGACGGCGACGGCGATGACGACAGCGACGACCACAGCACCGACAACTACGACGACGGCGGCGGACGCCACGTGGGATCGAGGTCGGGGGGTCGCCAGGGCAGACAAGACACCCCTCAGAGGCAGAGGCAGACGGGGTCGGAGATAGCCCAGAGGCAGAGGCAGACGGGGCCGGCAGAGGCAGACGGGGTCGGAGACAGCCCAGGGGCTGGCATTGCACGCATTCGCCTTGGGGGGGGGGGGAGCCTCGGAGGCACGGGCGGTCGGAGCCCCTGGACCCGGGGGCAGAGCCCCCCCCCGTGGGACACGCGCGCCCCCCCTGCAGCCGCCGAGGGGTCTGAGCGTGCTTGAGCGTGTCGGCCCGCCACGGCCAGGAGGGCGCGCCTGAGCGCGGGGGCCCTCTGCCGCCTGGGCCTCTCGTGCTGCTGCACTGCCCGTCCCTGCACGGGCGCGGGCGGGCGGGGGCGGCGCGCGGGGGAGTCGTCGGCTGTGCCCGGGGCCCTGCTGGCCCGGTGGCCAAGACGCTGGGAAGAAGGACCGCCTGGGGCTCGGGATGGGGCTCTGCTCGTCTGGCCGCTCTCCAGCCTCGGGTCGAGGGGTCTGTGCATGGCCGTGGCTCGCCCTGGCCAGACACATCCCGCCTTTCCGGCACCAGCGCTCCCGGTCGCAGCACGGTGGCTCTATAGGGCCCCCCTGGCGACCCGCGCGCCGAGGAGCTGGAGTCCAAGCTCGAGCGCGCCCGGGACCAGGCGGACAGCGGCGGCGGCCGTTGGCGGCGACGTCGGCGACGACGGAACGCGGCGGCGACGTCGGCGACGGCGGCGACGATGGCGACGAGACGGTGACAGCCACGGCGGCGACGGCGGCGACCTCGACGGCAGCAATGGCGGCGGCGACGGCGGCGACCTCGACGGCAGCAATGGCGGCGGCGACGGCGGCTGCGGGCCACAGCGGCGACGGCGGCGACGGCGGCGACGGCGAGGGCGACCTCGGCGGCAGCGGCGAGCTGGCGGCTGCCCGAGGCCGCCAGCGCCGGCGGCGCACGCCTGGAGGCGCTGCTGCAGCGCGCCGCCCGCGCGGAGGGCCGCGCGGACGCCCTGGCGCAGAAGGCCCCCCACGAGCGGGGGCGGGCCCGCCCAGGGGAGCTGCGAGGAGGAGGAGGAGGAGGAGGAGGAGGAGGAGGAGGAAGCATGCAGACGTTGCGCAACCGCGCCGCGGGGCCGCCAGGGAGCCCCTGAAAGCAATGATGCATACAATTCGTTGCTGCGCGTCTGGCGCAACGTTGTCGGGAGGGCGCCGGTTACCTCCCCTAAAAAAGGGTCGGTCAGGTGTACGGTGCCTGGGCCGGGAAGGTTTTGGGGGACCTATGGTCTCCCTCCTTGCCTACCCCGTTTCGCACACAGGGGCGTCGGCTGTGCGTCTGACGCAAAGTTGTCCGGGGGGCGCCTGGTGCTTCTCTTTCAGTGTCGGCCAGGCATTCGATGTCTGAGCCTTGAAGGTTAGGGGACCTGTTGTGTCCTTTCTTACCCACCCCATCCCGCGCAGCCTCCCCTTTGGTGGGAGGGTGGGCGTGCGGGCCGCACCCCGCCTGACTCCGCACGTGCCACGTCAGGGGTGGCGGGGATTTGGCTGAGAAGCAGAAGCGGGTCACCTCGCTTTCCTTTCCCCTCCAGCGCACGACTCTGGGCCTGCTCTTGGCAAGCGTCGAGCAAAACCCAGAAGACTCCAGGGAAGCCTCGCCGCCCTCGCCCCCTGGCGACCACGGCTGGGCCACTGGACGGACAATTGCCGCGGGGAGGGTTCGGCCACAAGGGCCCGGTGAGCCGCCGGCAACGGGCAGACGCGAGGGACGCAGACCCAGTGCCCCCGCGGGAGCACCCAGGATAGGCAGAGGCCGGTGGTTCCAGAAGTCCTCCCACGGACATCGAAACCACACCTCCTGCGCCCCTCTGAAATCGGGGGTGGACAGAACCCCCAACAGTGACACGTCGATTAGTGAATTGTCCGTTTTAGGTTCTCGAGAGGGCGCCGTGGTCGTTATTTTCCAGGCTTGCGCCCGCCAGGTTTGGGCCTCAGGTCGTTTTCACTAAACCACGTTTTACTAAAGGGGGTTCTGTCCATCCCCGATGAAAGCATTCCGGAGATGACCGCAGATCGATGTTCCTGAAGGCCATGCAGATCGGCACACACCGCCCCGGCGCCCCCCGCAGGAAGAGAACCGGGGAAGCCCCTCGGCGCATCGATTTTCCCATCGACACGCGGCCCCAGCAAGCCTCCAAGTGGAGGATACAAAAGACCAAGCTTTCGTATCATTGGAGATGTGTGTGCCCACTCTCCCGATAGGTTCCCTGAACGCAATATTTGTTCCACCGCCGTCGGGAGTCGATCCTGAGAAGATCGCGCGAAAAGGGGGTGGAGAGACTACGGCTTGGAAGGCCACCCCGTCGTGGGTGGCGAAGCTACCGACCTGGCGCGCTCGTGCCCTCCCGCAACCACGTGTGCAGCACATCTGGAGGGTAGCCCGAGAAGCGACCATGGTGTCCGTGAACATTTAGAGGTCTGCATCCTCGACACGGCACCCAATGCCAAGGCCTTTTTGATAGGGTGCGACGTAGTTGCAGTATGGCATGGGACTCTGTTCCCAGATCATTTCCTAGATTTGTTGTGGACGGCCTCGTACGAACGGTGCCGCTGTGTGGAAGGCCACAAGCGCCTCCGCTACGGTGTCGCTGGGACTCGCCTTGTTAGGTTAAACGTCGTGTGGGGTGGTGTGTTTGTTTGGTGGTGGCCCTCCCCGCCTCCTCTCATTCCCCTCCGTCGGCTTCTCTGCTTGATCCTAGGAGGATCGAGTCCGCCGGGGTCATCCCGATGGCCCAGCCGTGCTTTGCGGCGTTTCTGCTGGAGGCGGAGGCGGACCTGTGGGGCAGGAGTGAGGTGGTGATCCAATCTAGGGTGCGCGCTGCCCGCGTATTCGGGATGCGGAGGAGGAGGCAAAGGAGGAGGAGGAGGAGGAGGAGGAGGAGGAGGAGGAGGAGAAGGAAGAGGAGGAGGAGGGAGGACGAGGAGGAGGAGGAGGAGGAAGAAGAAGGAGGAGAGGAGGAGGAGGAGGAAGAAGAGTAAAGAGTAAAGGAGGAGGAGGAGAACGACGACGATGAGGAGGAAAGAGGGGAGGATGAGGACGAGGAGGAAGGGAGGGTGGGGACGGACGGTGGCGGTCCTTGCGGATCGTCGCTGTGGGGTTGCGCTGCCTCGAAGGTCAAGGAGCTGTGCACGGCGGAGGGCGGCCACAGGCTCTGCGGGGGAGGGGCGGGGAGAAGTTGTGCGGACGGCGGCCATCTGCCGAGGAGGGAGGGCCAAGGAGACGTAAACACTGATCCATCGAGCAAGACAAATCACAACGGAATGAGAAAAGTAAGCTCTTCGTGGCACGAGATCGAGGCGGGTGGACCACTCGAGGAAGGAAACGAAGCAGTACGTAGGCAGAAGCTGTCGACGCGCGGATTTCCTGGGCCGGTGCCCCCCACCCTTGGTGGAGCCTCCCAGTGCCGCCCCCTTGGCGCGGTCCGCGCGCAAGGGGAAGGGGGCAGAGCGCCGATCTAGGAAGTCCTCCGGAAGTGTCGGTCCACATCGCTGCAGGTTGTTCTGAGCGAGGCGTGCGGATTAGTGGTGCGTCCCGCTGCATCACGTCCTCGGCGCGATCCGTTGCCAAATGGGACGGCATTGGCCTCGTGCTTCGCGGGTGCATTCCCCGATCAGTGGTTCTGGCGCTCACGCGCCAGATCCATGCATTATCTATCCACGTTACGGTGGGGGCGTTGGTCCAGGAGTGTCCCCATGTGGCTTCAGACCCTGGATAATGCCTTACCTGATGAGGGCGGCGGGGACATCCATGATCAAGCCTCAATGGACCCTGGGTTTCTTATCCAACGGTTCCTTCTCCAGTGCCCTCACCGTAGCGTGACTCCCAACTGGAGCGAGGAGGAGCTGGGCGAATGTCGCAGCATCTCTTGGTTGCCTTGCCTGTGCGAAGTCGTCTGACACAGCCCAATGATGGCACAGGGGGGGAACCAAGAGTGGCGTGCCATATAATATAGATATGCAGTTTAAGTATATGGGTTCGCAGATCACCCATATACATGTGTACACACATACGCATTTACACATTCATATAGACATAGACACGCATACAGGGAAAGGGATGGGATATTTTGGGAAGGAGCGCGAGTGGAGAGTGTGAGGGAGAGAGAGAGAGAGAGAAAAAAAAACAAAAAAACAAAACAACGAATGAGACTGATTGAGAGACTGCGAGACTGAACGATGGAGATCAGGTCGGATAACAGGAGGGGGCATGTTGAGGATATACTGAGGAGCAATAGTGGGGCAGGAAGAACAGAAGAGGACGGACACAGGATGGAGAAACACGTGACGGGGCAGGAGACTCGGACGGGTTGCGGATGAGGCGCAGGAAGAATTGGTGAGAAGGAGGAGGAGGACATGAGGATAAGAGGCGTGACGAGGGGAGCAGGCGGATGAGTGGCATGACCTGCCCCCCTCCTCCCTTGCCTCCCTCTGCATCCTTTCCTATATCCTGCCTCCTCCGCCTCCTCCTGCCTCATCCTCCCCCCTTTCCTCCCTGTCCCGCCCTCGGCCAGGTAATGTAGTCTTTCAAGCGGCAGCCATTGTTAAATGTATCACGCGCATCCGAGAGCCCTCTCACGGCTGTCTGTAACTTACGAGAACTGGCTCGCATCGATTCGTTTTGGGCCTTGTCCTCATCATTATCTTGTTCCTCCTCCTCCTCCTCCTCGCGCCTCCCGCCCCTATTGTCCTCATCCTCTCCTCTCGCCTCCCGTCCCTCTTTTCTCCTCGTCCTCCTAATCCCCTCCCTCCTCCATCCCCGCGCATCCCTCGTCTTCCTCCGCCTCCCGAGGGAAGAGCGCAGGCGGGTCACTGTACAGCGTGGCGCACGACGGCGGGGGGAGCGGGGCAGCAGGAGGGAGCAGCAGCAGCAGCAGCAGGCCGACGACGCCGACGACCACGACGACGGGACGGGCCAAAGGGCCAGCACGACGCCCCTTCGCGGAGGAGAACAGCACCGGCGAGCGCGACGACGACGACGACGACGACGCCGACGCCGACGCCGACGCTCGGCCACGGCGGCGCAGGGCCGATCACGGTCCCGTCTTCCCCCATTCCCCGAGTGCGGAGATGCCCCCCGTGCGCCCTCCCGGCCTTTCTGGCGTGCGCGCCTCCGGAGGGGGGGGGGGTCCCGCCCCTCCCGTGCCCCGTCTCCTGAGCCGCCTCCCCCCACGCAGGATAATTTGTTCTCCCCCAGTCTCTCCTCTTCCTCCTCCTCCTCCTCCTCCTCCTCCTCCTCCTCCTCCTTCTCCCCCATCCTTCTCCATCCTCCTCCTCCTCGTCCTCCCTCCTTCTCCTCCTCCTCCTCCTCCTCCTCCTCCTCCTCTTCCTCCTCCTCCTCCTCCTCCTCCTCCTCCTCTCCTCCTCCTCATCCACCTTTTCCTCCTCCTCCTCCTCCTCCTCCTCTCTCCTCCTCCTCCTCCTCCTCCTCCTCCTCCCTCTCCTCCTGCTCCTCCTCCTCCTCCTCCTCCTCCTCCTCATCCTCCTCGAAGCCGCTCAGGAAAGGAAGGGAATTCCGTGGATGCAACCCAAGGGGGCTACTCGGACGCACCCCTGGCGAGCGCGAGCAGGGACGCCCCGCTATCGTATATCCCAGGGTTGGGCCCCAACTTTCTGGTGCATTCGAAAAGCCCGCGAAGCTTGGGTAGGCGTCGACATAGCATCCCCTGTTATCCCCCTCGCCCTTTCACGCGCCCGTCATTCGCGCTCACCGCGCCGGCCGCCTGTCCCCCCTGCCCGATCGGGGCTCAAGAGACGGGGGTCAGTGCAGGCGGGGGTCCGCCAGAGCGCTGGATTTTGCAGGATCCTGCAGGGCCAGGGGTGCATTGACCCGTCGCTACGCGCAGGAACTTGCAAAGCCTGACTGGCCCTTGTTTGCATGAACCCTGGTCAGTGGATCCCCGATTCGAATGGAAAGGGGGGGCCTTCCTGGTCGGGTGGACGGCCACCGGAGGGCAACAAGAATCACGAAGGGAGGTGTTTCTCTATTTTTGGTCTCTGGGGGCGCTTGCCAGGCTCTGGAGCCGTCAAACTATGATCCACCTTGCCTGCGGAAAATCCCGCCACCGTGCCTGTGCAACAGCGCTGCAGGAAAGTGGCTGCGTACAGGAACAACGCAATTCCGACGATTGGTCTGCACTGGGGCGGTTCTTGTACTCGACCTCGTCTTCGTCCGCGCGGTAGGGAGGAGGAGGAAGAGGAAGAGGAGAGGGACAAAATCAGGACGAGGAGGAGAAGGAGGCGCTGCTGGGGCCTCCGTGCTGCCTGGGTCCTGGGAGCTTCGGCCTGTTGGGAGCCTCTTGGGGCCTCTTGGGCCGTCTTAGAGGACTCTTGGTCTGTCTGACGCCTTTGGAGGCCGCCTCGGGGGCTTATCTAGGCCGTGTTGGTGCCCTCTTGAAGCTGTTCACGGCCGTCTTGGGACCCTCTTGGGAGCCCCTTGGGCCCTTGGGCGATCTTTGGAAACATTTGGGCCGATTTGAAGCCCTCTTGCGGGTCTCTTGGGCTGCATTGGAGCCATATCATGTTTCCTCCTCCCTCTCCTTTTTCCTCGTCCTCCTCTTCCTCCTCCTCCTCCTTTCCCTCGTCCCTCCCACTGCAAGCTGCCCCTCGTTCTCCTCCACCTCCTTCCCCTCGTCCCTCTCCGCTGCTGCCCCGTCCCTTTCCCCCCTGCTGTCTCCCCTCTCGTCTCGCCACCGGACCCCAATAGGTCCTCCTGGCCGGCCGGCGCGACTCTCGCGTGGCGTGGCGGCCAGCCACACACGCCTGAGGGGAAGGCACAGAGGCCTCCCCCCTTCACATAGGATATCCCCCGAAGCGACCCCCGGCACCCTCCCCTGTAAGCGTAGGAGTAGGGTGCCCAGATCGCGGAGGTGGGGGCCGCTTGGGGGATTTCCACAGTGTGGGGGGAGGTTTATGCCTTACGTGGCGGCGGCACGGTGTTACCGTGCCCCGTCCACCCCATCATCCCTTGTCCTGCCCACCCCGTCCCTTCATGGTCTTGGGCGGCGGCTGCGTTGCACAGGATGGCTTGGTGGGCGCAATGTGGAGGTGGCGGTACAATTCTTGGATGGCCAGTCTGGGGTGGCTGCTGAGGATCGTGGCGGGGCTGGGCTTGGCCGCGGCCGCTGGCCCGAAAGAAAGTGTTGACGTCTGATCTGCATCCGTGGTGGTGCCTGCAGACATCCTGGCCTTCGCCTCAAGTAGCTGGCGGCGAGGTTCCCTCACTCCCCCGCCCGTCATGTATGCTCCTCCTCTCCCTCCTTCTCCTCTTCCTCATCCTCCTCCTTCTCCCCCTCCTCCTCCTCCTCCTCCTCCTCCTCGGCTTCCTCCTCCTCCTCCCCGCCTCCTCCTCCTCCGCCTCCTCCTCCTGCTCCCAACCGTCCACCTCCACCGCTGCCCCTCTTCCCTTCCCCGCCGCGCCCTCGTTGCCCGAGGCTTCCGCGGGTCCCCGAGGAGTCCCCGGTGACCACCGGCTCCTCGGGCACGTCGGGCGCGTCGGAGCAGGAGGCGGGCGCCGCGGCCCTCGCGCCTTCGTCCAGCGCCGCGGCCTGCCGGGGGACCAGCAGGGTCCCTCGGCGTCTGCGGTCGTCGCTGCCGTCGTGGCCGTGGCCGCGAAAACATTATGACGGGGGGCGTCTGGCAGTTTTCGGTCTTCGGGGGCCTTGGTTGGGCCCCAGGACTCTCCGTCTATCTCTGCCTCCTCTCCACCTCGTCCTTCCCCCGGCATAGATACAATGAGGGGGAGAAGTGTCCGTAGGTCGGGACTGGGCGTTCCGTATTTTAGTTCTTCATCATTGACCACCATGTAGTTAAGACCCCAGCGGATACATGGACGGGGGGGGCGGTGGTTTTCGAAAGGCGGTTCTCGCCGTAGATCCTCGCACAGTCTTGGTATGAAAGTCGAAGGTCCAGCCGCAGAACTTCCAGCCGCTGTGGTTCTCGCCTCAATGCCGCGCACACTCGTGCGAAACATCATCATTGAGTATACGGATGGAGGCCGGGTCGTTTTCAAAATGAAGGTATGTTGTTTGAGATGTTCATTATATTTTGACCATGAAGTTCGGACTGTTTGTAACCCCTGCATGGACGGAGGGCAACTAACGCTGGACCCTTCCGTGGGCCTCACCATCCTATTGTATTGCGCTTCGTTTAGCTAGAAGGCTAGATTGGGAGTCCTTCGCAACAAGGGGTCTCGCCCCGCAGTGGTGCGCCCCTGGAGGACGATCAATGGAAAGGAAGCATGTTGCCAAATCGTTTCAAGGTGTCTAAATCATGATTTAATCGTGTGTTAAACATGTTTAAAGCATGTTTAGAACATTTTTTCTACATTTAGAAATTCAATGATAGGACTGTTAGGGTGTCCAGTGTCGTGGCATCCACAATTCAAGAGGGACGCTCCCGTCAGTAGAAAGGACAGTTCGCAAGGACTCGTGGGGACGGGAGGGTGTGTTGCAGCATCGTTTGATGCATCATGGGTTTACTCTGGTCCTCCTCCTCCTCATCCTCATGCGTGCTCCTTCGCTTCATTCTTCAATCCGGAAGCGGTATCGTGGTGTTCGGGTCATAGCTCGGGGCCTCCGGTGGTTGTTCGTGACGATTGGGGCAGCTCCTGACTGTTCTCGACGAGGCGCAACTGTTGGTGATCATCCCAGGGCGAGGGAGCACCCACGAAGTTACGCAAAGCATCGAACGCCTCCAAGAGCAGTTCTCCTCCTCCTCGTTCCCTCCCCTTCCGTATGCTTCTCCGTCGAACATCGCCCCCTTTGAGCTCTCATGGGGTGCGTTGTCAGCAGGATTTCGAGGCGAACTCCGCCGCGGCGGCGTGGAGCCCCCCGGAGGTCCAAAACGTCGGAGCTCGACCTCCTCGCAGGCGGGCGCCGGGCTCGTCCAGTGGGACAGGGCGCCCCACAAGCGCCTCGAGAAGCGGCTGTCCCACGGGGAGCTGCGGGCCGTGCGCCAGCGGCTGGCGGCGGCCGAGGCACGCGCCGCGGCCGCCGAGGCGCGGGAGATGGCCGCCAGGAGCGACCTGGCGGCTGCACAGGACGCCGAAGGGCAAGTGCGCCCTCCTTGGCACACCTCCTCTTGCTGTTCCCCTTCCTCGTCCTCCTTTCTCCTCGTCCTCCTCTCTCCCCTCTCCTCCCTGTTCAAGTCTTCGAGGTCCCCAGTGGGCCCACTGGATACCGCTGGTCCGCGGGTGCTTTCGTATTCGGTCAGTCCGCCCTGACCTGAGCTCCTTGTTGGCTTGCCCCAACTTTGAGCATCCCTTCTTACTGATGCTCCCGATAGTCGTCCCTGCTTCTGGTTGTCATGGGCACGCATGCAGCGGAGAAAGATAGCGTTGAGTGGGCATAGGGTGTGGCTGGGTTGGGTAATTATGCTGGCAGTTCCGTAAGCGACAGAAGCCCTAAACGGTCTGCTCCTCCTGCGGTGGCTGGACCGTCAACCACATCGTCAAGAAGTCCCAATCGTGCTCCGATGTCCGCGAGCTTCTATGCCCAGACGGGCCCCCGTCTGCAAAATCGTCTCGTCGCGAAAGTAAGCCAGCCTGCATCCTGCCGCTTGACAAGTTGGCTGGGTTGCAGGTCATCGCTGACGAGTGGCCAGCAGCGCAAGCCAACCAGTTGCTGGAGCCGCTGGTGCCGAAGAAGGTGAACATCAAGCGGCTAAGGCGGCAGAGAGGCATGCCAACCCCCCGCCCGCCAGCCACAGTGCCCCCTGCGCCCCGGGATGGGGGGCCCACAGCGCCCCCCATCCCGCGCGCCCTTTTCCGCTCCCCCTACCCACCAGCCAGCGGGCCCTCTCCGCCCCGACCCCCTTATTTCGGCACGGCCCCGCCCTGCCCCGGCCCATTACTATAGTTCATCCCCCTCCTCCTCCTCCTCCTCCACCTCATCCTCCTCCTTCTCCTCCTCCACTTCCACCTCATCTTCCTCCCTCTCCTTTATGTGAAAGAGCCATGGCACGCGTGCCACTTCTTCAGGTAACGGTGCTCAGCGATAATGTTTGGGCATCGCATAGGCGAGCCTACCGGAAACGAGCACGGCCTAGCAGGCGTGGTTTTAGACATCGTTGGTGGAGGTATGTGACCAGAAGACGGATGTATGCGCGTGGCCTGTTGCCTGATTCCATGGACCATATGTGTCTCAGGACTGAGGGGACCCCGCAGCACTGGGTCTGGGGGCGTGCAATGCTGATGTTGCCAGATCAAAAGGTCTCCAACACAGAGCACTTGAGACATGCAGCTTTGGCTGAATATGAAGCGTTTTTGGGGGGACGGGGGCTTGCCCTTCTAGACTGGCTTGAACCCCACTAATCCCCCCATGGCGTTTCCGGGAGCTCCATGATTTGGAGCCCTCGCACCCCTTTCCTTGGAGAGGCTCACGGTTCATATGGTTCAGGGTTTTTTATTAAAGACGCACATTAATTCGCAGGTTATTTCCTGGTCTTGCTAGACTCGGAGAAGAACGAGATAGGATACCCCCATCTAGTCCGATGGAACCACATGCGTTTGCGACGGCGCCAGGCAGTGCTCCCCGAGCTGAGCACACGGATACTGCTGACGTCATTCAGCACTTGAGTCGTTGGGAGCCCGTGTTGATAGCTTGCCATCATGAGATAGCGAGAACACGTCGAAAGGAGGATGCAATCGTTGCCTGAGCCTAGCAAATGCGCTGTTGAGGCGGGAATGCGTGATGATAGCGAGTTCTAGAGAGACGGGCTAGGTGTTCCGTCATGCGCCGTCTCATTTGGAAAAGCCAGTCAGGGTTGACAGGTTTTGGGGGGGCGTGGACCCTTGTCGCTTCTTTCATAAACGGAGCAGCTGACGGGCTAGCTGACAGCCGAGCTGCCCAGTGCCAGGTTCCTTTCTCGCAGTGCGAAAGGCGATTTGGCATGGAGCCCAGGTGCTCCTGCGCACAGCAGCCGCCACGATGGGAATCGCCGGCAAACCGAAGAACCGGTCAAGAGAAGTTTGCGTTGCTCGAAAATTTCGTCTAGGCATAAAAGTGACCTTTCGCCGGAGTGACCTTTGGTGCGGGCACAGATGGGCCCCCAGATGGCTGCAAGAGAAGCGGTAGCAGCGGCTTTGCTCGCTTGTTCGTGCCCCCCCTGCGGCCGCCGAAAGGCCGCGCACCAAAGGTCGCTCTTACCCGGGGTCACTCTTGCGCGTAGCGGACCCGAAAACTCTCAGCACCGACTTCGTTCGACCAGCCCTGGTGTTCGGCAGTGGAGTGGAGGCTCCGCCGCTTCCTCCCTCCTCTTCTCTGCCGAATTCAAGCTTCGCGCGGCCCGCTTAGCTTCGAACGGAAGAGGTGCGCTCTCGACCCGCGGATCAAACAACGGTGTTCGGCAGTGGCCAGGGCGCGGGCCCCGCGCCAGGGAGTTTTCCTGGGGTTTTTTTTTGGGGGGTCGCACTCTGCCTCGGCCCGGCCCGCCCTCGCCCCAGGGGTACCCGGTGCCGTCCACCGTGTGGCCGCCTCTCGGTGGAGTTTTTGCGGTGCCGAGTGGTGCGCCCTTTTGGGGGAGTTTTGGAAATACCCACTGCTCATGTCTGGCTCTTCGCGAATGCCTTGACGTTTTGGGGGGCCAGGAGCCTTTCACTTCTAATTGTTCTGTCCTAGGCCTCTTCCTGGCCACTACGGGGCCAGGGACAGTTAGAAACGAGCACAATTAGAAATGAGCACGATTAGAAAGGAACGACGTGTAGATTGCCCGCCTGCGTTTGTGAATCACTTGGGTTTCACTGCGGGGCAGCCGCTGGCTGCATCGCATACCTTGTTGGCTCAATGGCGGTCATGTGGTTTGTGGTTTGTCAGGTGCCTGTGCCGGGCAGAAGCCTGCCAGCTGACCTGCAGGTTGTATTGCAGCAGTCCGAAGGTCCTTGTAAAGTCTCGGCAAAACAATCCAGGCCCTGCGAAGAATTTGAAAGGGCCGACCTTCACAGCAGTCCTGCAGTCCTGTGGGTCGAGTTTGGTTCGCAGCGCGCACCACCGCACCACCAACTTCACCCCCCTTGGGTTGGGGCCCTTCGGAGCGCAGGCATGCCAGTTGCGAGCACATCGCAGGAGGAGCAGGAACCAACGCATTTTGACTGGCAAACTGCCCAAGTTGCCGGTGTGGACGGACCCTCCCTATCTCTCTGCGGCGCATGGCGGAAGCCTTGCATGCCGAGGGCGACGAGGCGCCACTCGTCCAACCGGTGGAGGACGAGGATGGACCACCCTGGCGTTGGGCTGAGCTGCGCTTTTTGTCCCTCCTTGCAACTGCCCTTCACGTTTCCTTTTTCAAGACCCAGTTGCACTTGTGCCCTTCAGTGCCAAGCTAGTTCCCATAGCTTGGCGTATTGAAACAGACCGTTGAACAAATCCTCCTCCTGCTCTTCCCGTTGTTTCCTCCTGTTTCCTGTGTTCTCTCCTCCTGTTCTCTCCACTCCTCCTCCTTCCTCCTCCTCCTCCTCCTCCGCCTCCTCCTCCGCCTCCTCCTCCTTCTCCTCCGCCTTCTCCTCTTCCTCCTCCTCCTCCTCCTCTCCTCCTCCTCCTCCATTCCTTTTCCTTCTAAATATCTTTTCCCTGTCGCACCCCGAGCCACTTTGTAGGGCGGGCCGTGATTTTCGCCTGAGGTTTCCTCACCATTATGACTCTGGAGCTTCAACAATGACAACAGCATCACGGATTGAGGGCGGGTGGTTTTCAAAATGTGGTTCTCGCCTGAGCGCCGCGCACATTCGTTAAACAAACAATCATATGACATTCACGGATTGGGGGCGGCTGGTTTTCAAAATGTGGTTCTCGCTGTAGCGCCACGCACATTCGTTTTTAACATATTGCCAGAATTTCATGGATTGAGGGCCGGTGGTTTTCAAACTTTGGCTCTCGTCTTAGCGCCGCGCACATTCGTTTTGAACATTTGCAAAAGCTTTACGGTTTGAGGGCGGGTGGTGTTCAAAATGCTGCTCTCGCTTTAGCGCCGCGCACAATGTTTTGTCAAACATTTCAAGAGCTTCACGGATTCAGGGCGGGTGGTTTTCAACATGTGCTTATCGCCTTAGCGCCGCGCATCTTCTTTTCAATCATATGCAAGAGCTCCACGGTTTGAGGGTGGGTCGTTTTCAAGAAAGCCGCGCACATTCGTTTAAACACATGTGCAAGAGTTTCACGGATTGATGGCGGCCCTTCTTCAAAATGTGGCTCTCGCCTTATATAGCGCCGCGCACATTCGTTCATAAGATTTGAAAGAGGTTCTCGGATCCCCATGGTCAACGTACCAGAAATGGTGTTTTGGAAGGATTCAGGATTATGCGGGTGCAACCGTCATGTCGGTTCGTTGTGTTGAAGTCTCAAAGATGGTTTTCTGGCACGATTCCGGATCGCCAAGAACGCAGCAGTCAGGCTGATCCGTGTGGTTGAAATCCCGAGAACAATGTTTTGGCATGCTTCTGGATCTTCAAACGGTTGTCTTCCAAGGAGGCAGTTCCCTCAATGGAAATGAACCGTTGTAGGGGCCTATGACGAGGGGGCTTGGATGGAGCGTTTATCCCAACATCTTTGATGACTCTTTGGTTTGCACTGGTCCTCTCTCCTCTTTCTGTTCCTCCTCTCTCCTCCCTGCTCTCTCCTCCTCCTGCCCCTGCTCTCTCCTCCTCCTGTCTCCTCCCCCTGTCTCCTTATTCTCCTCCTGCTCTCTCCGCCTACTTTCTCCTCGTCCTGCTACCTCTTCCTCCTCCTCCGTCTCCTTCTCCTCTTCCTCCTCCTCCTCCTCCTCCTCCTCCACCCTCTCCGGGCCCCTGAGGCCCGGACACTGCGAATTAGGAACTCTTCTGGATCCAGCGGGAGGGAATGAGGAGTGGAGAATGCCTGGGCCCACGGCCACAGCGTTCTCGGGCGCGTTGACACCCTCGTTTCTCAAAGTCCCCGTGCACGGGCCCTGAGGAGAAGCGCGTGGGTGGGGATCAGTTCAGCGCGGTGCGCAGCGATCCCAAACCGCCCACTCATCGCCAACTGGGGCCCGATAGCCTCATAAGAGCCCCAATAAGGGGCCACTCCTGGGCTCTCGAAGATGCGCGAAAGGTATACGTTCCCCCCCATCCCGCCCCCCCCCCACTCGTTTACTGCCACATCCACGACCCTGAGATCCGACGTCGCGAAACAAAAATAAGGCATCGCGACCAATCACGACCAGAGCCCTACAGACTGCATGTTTCTCCGTCATTTTTCGAGCCGGATCGATCCGTGATGGCCCGGCCCCGAGATTGGGGAACGTCGCCCGTGGCGCAAAAAATTGCGACGCCGAGATCTCAGGGAAGCCGCGTGTGCATAGCCCCCCCTCCAAAAAAAAAACAGCGCGAGCACCAGCAGAGGTGCGACCCCCCGGGCCCCCGCGCAGGAGGCGGCCGAGGGCGACCGCCGCGCGCTGCGCTGCGAGCTGGAGGAGGTGCGCGCGCAGCAGCGCCAGTGCGCGGAGGACAAGGAGAAGGACCCGGCCGACAAGGACGGGGCCGCTTGCGAGCGCTCGTTCCCCAGACCTGCTCGCGTCGCAAGCACATCACGATGGGAGCGGTTGTGGTGCTTTCGGCCTCCGGGGTCCTCGCCGGGCGACACGGCCGTCAAAGGGACCCCCAGGTTCCAGAGGAAGAGGGGGGGAATTTCCCGCAGTGAAGCTGCAGTGGATCACGCTCTCTCCAAGATTTATGATATCGAGGCGTAATCCGATATCAAAACTTTGGGGTGGGGCTGAGCGCGCTCGGGAGAGCCCGCGGTGAGGGATCAGACGGGAGGGGCGGGGCGTGGAGCAGAATGGAGAGACGGAGAGGTGGTGGGAAGGAATGATATAGGGCCTTGGCAGATCCTGGAAAGAACGAAGACCATGCCAGACGAGGGTATATTGCGAAGGCCTTACGGCTGATGCCGCCGCCGGCTTACGGCAGCGACGACGAAGACAATGGAGGTAGAGGAGTCCAAGATGCCCTCAGATGGCTCGAAGACGGCGCCAGATGCCTGCAAGGTCGTCCGAAGACAGTTCAAGAGGCCTCCTCTAAGGTTCGGGAACGGCTCCAGAGAGTGCCAAGATAGGACGAAGACCATGTCAGAAGAATGTATACTTGCGATTGGCACATTTGCAGCGGAAGCAGATTCAGTTGGCTGGCGCTGTGTGTGTGTGTGTGTGTCTTGGGCTCTTTTGAAGAGGGACGAGAGGGCCTTACAGTCTCGGGGTTCCGATCGCCCCTAGGAGGTCCCCTGGAATCCGACATCACGGAAAATTGCAACCTCGCAAACAATCATTACCATAGCCTCGCATCCAATCATTATCCTGCATTTCTCGAGCTCGATCGATCCGTGAGGGTCGGGGGGCCCGAAACGATGCAAGATCGCCTGTTGCGAGAAGACAGTGGCGCCAGGATTGCAAGGTACCCGCTCCATCGCGCCTTTGGGCCCCCAGGGGGAAGGTGGCTTCAGGAGGGGAAACAAAAACGCAGACACAATTAATCGTCGATTCCCGAGAAAATATATGAAAAGATAGGAAGCGGGGCGGAAGACAGAAACCCAGAAAATATGGGGAATATTTTGATTTGTGTGTATTTATTTATGTGTCCTGGGGCCCCTTCATGGCTGCACGCTCGAGGGCCGCCCAGCCAAGACCGACGGGGGCGATCCCTCCCGGAGGAGCGCGGCGACCTCCTGCGCCACCAGCTCGCGCAGACCCAGGAGCTGGTGCAGACCTGGCGGAAGCTCGGCGAGCAGGCCACCGGATGGGCCTTGGCATCGCTCGGACGTGTGCGTTTTTTCCTCAGCGAGGACCATCGAGGAGCATCCTTGATCATTTGGCGAAAAAACCACGCACGAAACCGGAAAAAGCACAAGGAATGGACGTCCGAGCGATGGCCAGGGGCTCGATGGTGTATACACCGCGTCGTCCGGTCGGCCCAGGAGTGGCGAAGGAAGCTGGCTGATAGGCGTGAGACGCTCCGGCGCCCCACGGATTCGGGCAGCTGGGGCGCCTATGCACCGAGCTCCGGGGCCGACCAGATGAGGAGGAAAAGGATAAGATGGATCATGAGGAGGAGGGGGAGGAGGAGAGGACGGCGGAGGAGGAGGAGGAGGGAGGAGGAGGGATAGGAGGGAGAGGAGGACAGGAGGAGGGAGAAGGATAAGGTGGATAATGAGGAGGAGGAGGAGGAGGAGGAGGAGGAGGAGGAGGAGGAGGAGGAGGACGAGGAGGACGGCGGCGGAGGAGGAGGAGGAGGAGGAGGAGTGATTTTGAGCACCTCCCGAGGCCATGCGGGCCGAGACGTCCCCAGAGCCGGGGCGCGTCAGCCCCCCCGTCTGGCGCCACGCTGCGCCGGCGGGAGCCTCGGGGGAGGAAGGAAGACCGATGCTGCTGCTCGTCCTCGAGATCGATACAGTCGGGGCGCTGAAGAAGGAACCATTTTCATTGGGGAGGGGCTCGGTGTTCCTTGACTGTTTCCAAGTTTGTCTCAGGTTTTCCTGAGGTTTCCCATGGGAAATCGAGCCTTAACTTATGGGAAAAAGAGGCCTCGTTCCTCATTTGTGTTCCTTAGGTCGACGCCCCGACTGTAGGGGGCCACGTGCGAACCCTACCCCTACCCCCCACGATTTCTGAGGGGGAGCGTGGGGTTCACTTCGCTCGTGACCTCCCGAACGAAGTGAACCCCACCCTCCCCCTCAGAAGTAGGGTTCGCATGTGGCCCCCTACCCTCGTCCCCCCGGCTGGACCCAGACCACCCACGGCGTGATCTGCCCATGGCTCGGGCCGAACGAAAGGGGGGGTAGGGAGAGGGTGGGTTACGAAATCTGCGGCACGCAGCTGGTTTCGGCCCCGCCGCCGGGCCCATTCCCTGATACATGGGCGCCTCCCGGCGCTGGGAGGCGCCGGGAAAATCAGCCACGTGAGCTGATTCTCCCCCCCCCCCTTTTGCTATCCCCCCCTTTCGCCCGGTCGGGGGTGGACAAAAACTCCTACCCTGACACGTCGATTAGCGAATGGGCCGTTCTCGGTTCGCGAGAGGGCGTCGCGGCCGTCATTTTTTTGCGGGTCCAGGTCCGTCGGTTTCGGTCCCAGGCCGTTTTCACTAAAGGGAGGTTTATTATAAAGGGAGGTTTGCCCACCGCCGACCCGGCCCGGATATCAAGCAGTGGCGAAGCGTCCCGGCTCGCCTATAGCCCCACCAAACCATGTTCTAAGAACCTGTTGTGGTCCCCACGAAATGCTCTTAGAACATTTCTGGCCAGGGCTGTCTTGTTTTAACACATCGGGCTTCTGTTCTAAGCACACTGCTTCTGTTCTTAGAACAAGTTTTGGGGTTCTAAGAACATTCCGTGGTATGACTATAGTCAGGAGGAGAAAAAACACACAGACACAATTAATCGGTGATCCCCAGGAAAATATGGGAAAATATGGGAAGTGGTGGGGAAGACAGAAACCCAGAAAATATGGGAAAATATAGGGGAATCTTTTTATTTGTGTGTATTTACTTGTGTGTCCTGGGGTCCCTTCAGTAGAGTGGGCCCCCAGAGGTCTGGGCCCCTTCGCGGGGGCCGGCTCTGCAGCCCGAGGGCCCCGCAAGGGGACTGCAGAGGCCGAGGGCGGCCCGCACTTTTTTTGCCGTCGCGAGGTGGAGCAGGAGGGAAGGGAACCCACAGACACAACGAATCGTCGATCCCCCAGAAAACATAGGAACATATGGGAAGTGGGGGGGAAGACGAACACCCAGGAAAAATATGGGGAATCCGGTTATTTGGTGCGTAGTTATGCGTGTGTCCTTGGGCCCCTTCATTGGTTCACGACGCGAGCATGTCTGGGGCTGGATTCTCGTCGAAACTCTGGGCAGAGTACGCCATGGGAGAGGTGCGGGGAGCAGTCGTTGTTCTTTAGATCGGCAAGGGAACTTGCATGGAGGTGTGAGGGGGGGGGGGAGCGTGACGAGGCCCGCGAGGGAATCTGGCTTTTACGCAAGCCGGGACTCCCTTGCACGCCTTTTCGGCCCAGCACTGCGTGAAAAGGCGGCGGAGGGGGTGGGAGGGGGGGGGGAGAGGGAGGGGGGGGGGGGGGCGCTGAGTCAAAAGAAAAACGCCCCCTACCATCGTGCCCCTCTGCAGGAGCCCCGGAGGCGGCGCTGGGCGCCCGCGGCGTCTCGCCGTCGGCGTCGCAGCGCGCATTCCTCCAGGCAAGCCCGCATCAGGCGTCGGGGATGACCCGATCGATCACCCCCCCCTTCCCCAGACCTCCTCGGGCTACGAACAGATCGCGACGGAATGTTTTTCGCTATCTTCGTCCTCGGGGGGGCCCTCCCCGAGCCTCGGGACCGCCGAAGAACGACTCGGAGTGGACAGCCCGTCCCCTGGAAAGGGGGCCAGACCTTTGCGGGTCGACGCCACGGAGCAAGAGCGAAAACAGGAGGCCGTGAGTGTGGGCGCTGAGCGGCCCGTTTGATCGAAGATCTCGTTGTCGATTTGTTTGGCGCGTACCGTCCAATCCTTCAGGGCATGCCAGAGGTGTCAGATTTTGCGCGGCGGTTGCACGACGACGGTGGGCGCACCGTAGAGCCCTTCATGACAGCAAGTCGTTGTCAACATGTCCGTGGCGGTTGTGCGACGAGCGCGGGCGCGGTGGTCGCGCGCAGTTGGATGTGCACATTCGTTATGGTGTTCGCATGTGGTTGGTTTTACATAGGAATTGCGCAGGTCTTGGAACGACCTTTGAAGTGCCTTGGCTAGGCTGTGGGCGGGCCTCCCCGGTCCCCCCAGAGCTTCCAGATGAGGTGGACGGCCCAAGATGGTTCCCAAACGGCCCAAGGGGCCGTCAAGCCGCCCCAGGACGGTTCCAAGAGGACCCCCAAGACGGCCCCAAGGGGCGAAGACCGTACCATTCCTCCTGGCCCATATGTGTTTAGCAGATTCGTTGTTTGGTCTGGGCAGCGTCCAAAACGGCCCAAGAAGACCCCGAGATCGCCCCAAGATGGCCCAAGAGGCGGGACTAAGGACTGGGCGACGGCGACGACGACGAAGACAACGACATCGTCTCATACACGACGAAGGGTCCGTTGATTTTCGTTTTTTGTTGAAGTGCAACTTGCGGTTAAGTGGTAAGTCATTCAGTTGCGCCCGTTGTCAACATTGTATGGGTGGGGGTAACCGATTTGATCGATGCGTTGTTGTAATTTTGAAGACCGATTTGAAGAGGTGGTAACCGATTTGAACAGTTGGTTTCTTTGAGGGCTTGACTGCTGTTGCCGTTTTTTGCTGTTGTGTTATCGGTTCCATAAGAATGTGCCGGGAGTGATCATGAGCTACGGGCCCCATACTGAGGAGGGCTCCCGTCTGAGACTTCCTCGCAAGTCACTCACAGACGAGGATCCCGCCTGAGACTTCTTGCATTTGCAAGCTTGAAAAGGCCAAATGCGGTCACATTTGCAGGATCCCGATGAACCGCTGGGATTGTTGCCGTGAGCTGCGGGCCCCATAGAGGGGGGGGATCCCGCCTGAGACTTCCTCGCAAGTCACTCACAGACGAGGCTCCCGCCTGAGACGTCCTCCATACTCAAGCTAGAAGCGGCCAGAAGTGACGACAGTTGCAGGATTCCGATGGCCCGCTTGGGCTAGTAACAGTTCGGGATGGGGCTCCCGCTTGAGATTTCCAGGCAAGTCACTCACAGACGAGGTTCTCGCCTTAGGCCTCCTGCACATTCAAGCTTGAAAAGGCAAATTTTTGCCGCGGCGTCGGATTTGGTTTCGTGGCGACTCCCTTGCCGCAGTCCAACACGTGGGCAGGCGACCAGGGGGCAGCCTCGACCCAGACCCCCGACGTCGTGTCTTGAGCCCCAGAGGCCTGGGACCCCTTCCCAGGGGACCGGCTTCTCACCCCGCGTCGTTTTTGACTGCCACAAGGCCCGGCAAGGGCCTCCGCGGAGGCCGAAATTTGCGAAACACCTCCGGCCATGATCTTTTGGTCACGACGCGAGGGGGCCTGGGGGGGGAGAGCCTCAAAGGCGAGGGGCTCGTCACGGAGGTGGGGGAGCCATCGAGTGTGAGATCGACTACAGAATCGATGTAGCTCGAAAATCAAACTCTCGTCGAATGTGCGAATGCGTAGGATGTTCTGTAGATCTACGAACCATTCTTCGCACGCTTGGCAGATTCGTGAAAGACATCACCCTCCTTGGATACATCGATGCTGCGGTCGATCTCCACCTCGATGAGGGGGAGCCTCGAGGCCAGAGGGCTCGTCGCGGCAGGGGCTCGCCACCGTCTGCAGGGGTCGGCTCCGCTGCGCCCGAGCCGAGGTGGCGCGCGAGCCCCGGGCGTCCGGCGCGCCGGGCTCGCTCCACGCCAGCCCCGTGCAGAGCGCGCGCGAGCCCCGGGCGTCCGGCACGCTGAGCGCGCTGCTGAGCACCCCGTCCGTGGTGCGCGTGACCACGCTGCGGCACCGAGTATCGTTTAGTCGAAGAAGCAGCAGTTGCAGACCCTGACCTTCCAGAGACCTCACAAGTAGCCCTCTAGATCTGTTTGACCTATCTGGACTGTTTCAGACCTCTAGAGGAATTCAGGAGGTGTCGAGGTCCTGGTGCTATTTTTGTTCGCCCTCCTGGAAGGTCAGGGTAATCATGAACGTTCGGAGCTCCGCGCGGATTTCCTGGATCCGCACTGGAATCCCTTGGCGACGCCTCTGGCGCCGCCCCTGGCGCGCTCCGCGCGCCAGGCAGGGGGGTCCAGCGCGGATCCAAGAAATCCGCGCGGACCTCCAACAGTTTATGTTTGTTGTCCCACATCCAAAGGGGGGTTATTGTTATCTCTGGACACCCCGCGCAGGGACAGGATGGAACGACCCCCCCTCTCTTCTCACTCACACACTCACACACTCACACACTCACACACTCACATCATCATTATTATCATCATCATCATCATCATCATCATCCTCATCATCATTATCTTCATCATCACCACCATGATCATCATCATCATCATCATCATCATCATCATCATCATCATCATCATCACCGCATCAGCATCATCAACAAATTCATTCACTCACTCACAATTGCGACTTACCACTCATCATCATCATCGTCATCATCACCATCACAACACCTTCGTCAACATCGTCATTCTCACACACATTTACTCACACATTCACACACTCGTCTTGACGAGATCTCAGGCGGGAGCCTCGGCTGTGAGACACGATCGTCATCATCGTCATTATCACAGACACTCACTCACACACTCACACACTCATCTTGACGAGGTCGCAGGAGGGAGCCTCGGCTGTGAGTGCTCACCATCACCATCACCATCACCAGCGTCATCGTCTACACCCACACTTGAGGAAGTATCAGTCGCGAGCCTCGTCTGTGAATGAACTGCGAGGAAGTCTCAGGCGGGAGCCCCCTCCCTATGGGGCCCGCCGCTCAGGTTTTTCATTTAATAGTATCCCGGCAAAGCAACCGAACAGCGATGTGTAGGAGCATATCTGGAAGCATTCCCCTTAAGATTCAGATGAGAATCCAGTTGTAGAATTCTGCTGTTCTTGCAGTCGTAGTCGCATTCGCGATGACAGTCGCAGTGGCAACGGCAGTCGCAGTCACAGCCTCAGCCTCAGCCTGCCTCAGCCTCAGCCTCAGCCTGCCTCAGCCTCAGCCTGCCTCAGCCTCAGCCTCAGCCTGCTTCAGCCTCAGCCTCAGTCTGCCTTCAGCCTCGGCCTCAGCCTCAGCCTCAGCCTCAGCCTGCAGCTCAGCCTCAGCTCAGCCTCAGCTCAGGCCTCAGCCTCTCAGCCTGCCTCAGCCTCAGCCTCAGCCTGCTTCAGCCTCAGCCTCAGTCTGCCTTCAGCCTCGGCCTCAGCCTCAGCCTGCCTCAGCCTCAGCCTGCATCAGCCTCAGCCTCAGCCTCAGCCTGCCTCAGCATCAGCCTGCCTCAGCCTCAGCCTCAGCCTGCCTCAGCCTCAGCCTCAGCTGCTTCAGCCTCAGCCTCAGTCTGCCTTCAGCCTCGGCCTCAGCCTCAGCCTGCCTCAGCCTCAGCCTGCTTCAGCCTCAGCCTCAGCCTCAGCCTGCCTCAGCATCAGCCTGCCTCAGCCTCAGCCTCAGCCTGCCTCAGCCTCAGCCTCAGCCTCAGCCTGCTTCAGCCTCAGCCTCAGTCTGCCTCAGCCTCGGCCTCAGCCTCAGCCTGCCTCAGCCTCAGCCTGCATCAGCCTCAGCCTCAGCCTCAGCCTGCCTCAGCATCAGCCTGCCTCAGCCTCAGCCTCAGCCTGCCTCAGCCTCAGCCTCAGCCTGCTTCAGCCTCAGCCTCAGTCTGCCTTCAGCCTCGGCCTCAGCCTCGCCTGAGCCTCAGCCTGCATCAGAGCCTCAGCCTCAGCCTGCCTCAGCATCAGCCTGCCTCAGCCTCAGCCTCAGCCTCAGCCTGCCTCAGCCTCAGCCTCAGCCTGCTTCAGCCTCAGCCTCAGTCTGCCTTCATGCTCAGCCTCAGCCTGCATGAGCCTCAGCCTCAGCCTCAGCCTGCAGCTCAGCCTGCCTCAGCCTCAGCCTCAGCCTCAGCCTGCCTCAGCCTCAGCCTCAGCCTGCATCATCAGCCTGCCTCAGCCTCAGCCTGCCTCAGCCTCAGCCTCAGCCTCAGCCTGCCTCAGCCTCAGCCTCAGCCTGCTTCAGCTTCAGCCTCAGTCTGCCTCAGCCTCGGCCTCAGCCTCAGCCTGCTTCAGCCTCAGCCTGCCTCAGCCTCAGCCTGCCTCAGCCTCAGCATCAACCTGCCTCAGCATTCAAACTGTGGCCCAGGAATGGAGTTCTGGGAACTCGAGGAACACGAAGTGGCCTACTGTTGGCTCCGGGCATTCAAAATCATGCCCAGGAATGGAGCTCTGGGAACTCGAAGACCACGAAGTGTCCTAGTGTTGGCTCGGGGCATTCAAAATCATGCCCAGAAATGGAGTTCTGGGAACTCGAAGACCACGAAGTTCGCTTACAATTGGCTCCGGGCATTCAAAATCATACCCAGGAGTGGGGTTCTGGGAACTCGAAGGACACGAAGTGGCCTACAGTTGGCTCTGGGCATTCAAAATCATGCCCAGGAATGGAGCTCTGGGAACTCGAAGACCACGAAGTGCGTTACTGTTGGCTAAAACAAGAGTCCCGGGCATCCTCCCCCGGATCGCGCCCAGACCCCCCTGGGGCGTCATGATGCTCTCTTTTGACCCGACTAGAAACCTACCAGTCTTGATTGTTAGGTAAAAAAGCGATCAGGTCATCGGTATCTTGTAACTGTCGTCACTTTTGGGCCCCTGAAGCCTGAACATGGAGGAAGTATCAGGCGGGAGCCTCGTTTGTGAGTGACTTGCGAGGAAGTTTCAGGCGGCAGCCCCCTCCCTATGGAGCCTGCCGCTCATGTGTTTAATCCGAGCGGGCCATCGGTATCTTGTAACTGTCGTCACGTTTGGGCTCCTGAGGCTTGAATTTGGAGGAAGTATCAGGCGGGAACCTCGTTTGTGAGTGAATTGCGAGGAAGCCTCAAGCGGGAGCCCTCTCTCTATGGGGCCCGCAGCTCATGTTGTTCATCCACGCGGGTCATCGGCATCCTGTTACTGTTGCCACTTTTGGACCCCTCAGGCTTGACTACGGAGGAAGTATCAGGCAGGAGCCTCGTCTGTGAGTGATTTGACAGGAAGTCCCAGGCGGGAGCCCTCCCCCTATGGGGCCCGCAACTCATGGCAATAACCCGAGCGGGGCATCTGTATCTCGTTTTTGTCGTCCCTTTTGGGCCCCTGAGGTTTGAATCTGTAGGAAGTATCCTGCGGGAGCCTCGTCCGTGAGTGAATTGCGAAGAATTTTCAAGCCGTGGCTTATGTGTGTAATACAAGCGGGTCGCCCTCAAGTCTGTGATTGTCTTCATGTTTGGCTTCCTCAGGCGTGAACCTGGGGGAAGTATCAGGCGGGAGTCCCGTTTGGGAGTGAATGGCGAGGAGGTTTCAGGCTGGAGCCCGAACGGGTCCTCGTCAACCTTGTATGTGTCGGCATGTTCGGGCCCTTGAGGTCTGAATCTGGGGGAAGTATGAGGCGGGAGTTTGTTATGTGAGTGATTCGCGCTTGGCCCGCGTGGCTGTCCCCGACGGCTGCGCGATTTCGCCGTCGGAGAACGCGCCCCTGCCAGGCGTGACGGCGAGGGCGCCGAGGAAAATCTACGCGCGCGCCACTGCCAGGAGGAAAGAGAGGTGCAGGAGGAGAACGAGCGGGGCGGCGATGAGGAGGGGGGAAAGGAGGAGGTGGAGGAGGGCAAGGCAAAGGCCGAGGAGGAGGAGGAACATGAGGAGGAGAGGGAGGAAGAGGAGCAGGCGGAAGAGGAGCAGGCGGAATAGGAAGAGGATAAGAAATGCAACGAGGAGGACCAGAAGGAACAGGAGGAAGAAAAGGAGGAGAAGGAGGAGGATGAGGACGGAGAGGGCGGAAGGAAACCTCCGTCTGACGAAGAAGAAAAAGGCGAGGGGAAAGCTAAATCGATTCTCGTGTGGTGTCATACCGTCGGGGTAGGCATTTTTTCTATACGAATAATAACAACAACCTTGAGATCTGGGCGTTGCAATTGGGTTACAGCAGGCTTCTTTGCCCAGCTTCGGGCTCCGGGGCATTCACTGATCAATATGGCTCGACAAATTGTTCAACAAGCTGGGGTCTGGGGTCCTGGTCGTGGTTTCCTCCGATGTAGCACGTGGTTGGGAAACGTCGGGCCTCAGGGAACCTGATTATCCCCATCCTCATTGGGCCATGATGCTGAGGCTCAGCCCCACCATCCCGCCACTCCAGTTTGGGTTCGGCCCCTCGAAACCCAGCAGGGGACCGCCTATATCCCCATCCAGGGGGGCACATCGGCCAGCCAGCGGGGCCCAGGCCACGCCAGTGGGGACAGAGATCGGTCAAACGATGCTCAGGCACTGCACGCCGCCCAGGGGCACCGTGGCGGGGGGCTCCACGCGCTGACCAACGGGCGCCTGTGCTGAAAGGAGGAACATCCCAGATATACTCGCGCCGTGGACAAACCAGGACTGAAAGTTGTTCGAAGTTTTCAGCCTCTCGGGGCCCTCACTGGGCCTTGGGACCGTCAACAAACGATTCAGGATGAACGGGTTTGGGGGGAAGGGTCGGTATTTCCTGGGGCCGCGTATTGAAAAAAAGAAAAAACACGTCGCATGTCTGGGAGAGCCGCCCCCCGTTCTGGCCTCTCCTGGGCCACCTGGGAGGCCCCCGTCGCCACGGCCGGGTTCTCTTTGACATTTTGTTCCAGGACGCACCCCGGGAGAGGTCCACGGAACAGCGGTATCGAGATCCCTGTGCCTGCCCAGGCTCCATGCGCTGACTGGCCGGCGCTGGCGCGGCAGTGGGCGCCCGCGCGCTCACACGATCGTGTGCATGCTGAGGGCCCTTGCGCTGTTACAGACTGACGAATTTTTGTATTGTTCCTGTTCTAGTCCGCAGCGTCGTGGGCAGGGGCGAGTGGTCAAGGTGTTGCTCTTCTTCCAGCACCCCTGCCGTCACCCTCGCTCCGTCCCTACTCGCCTCACGTATTCTCTTCAATCCTGACATGTCCCCCGCTCTCCTTCTCAGCCTTCCCGGATCGGAGGGCGTCGCAATGGGGCACGCATGCACCAGGCCGACGTTCCCCAGCGCTGCCAGTCACAGAATACTTAGGCGTGAGCCTCAGGTTCACCGACTTCTGCCGTAATTGAGTTTGCGCATGCTTTAGCCGAAGCAGAAGGATCGGCATCAGCACAAAGGTTCGGAGGCCCGCGCGGAGTGGTCAGATCGGCGCAGAAGCCCCCTCCCCACGACCCTGCCTCTGGCGCCGCCACTGGCGCGCTGGGCGCTCCAGGGATGGGGGCTCAGCGACGATCCAAAACATCCGCGCAATCCTCCGGAAGTTTATGGTGGTTATGCCGATTGTTCTGCTCTCGTGTGCAGGCGTCCCGCCTCACCTCGTGTGAGTCCTCACCGCTCCTCCCTCGCCCCTCCGCCTTCCCTCCGCCTCCTGCCCGGCGACCTGCTCGGCGAGGCCGACCAGCTCCGCCTCCGACGCGCCTCGACCTGAAGACCTCCGCCTGCTGCCCCCCCTCGCCCCGAGCCTCAACCTGCCGCTCTGTTGCCGGTGCCTGGGATTGCCCGTGCCTCTCCCGGCCACGCGCAAAGGGGGGGGGGGGGAGGGAGAGAGGGAAGGATCCTTCGAAGGAGGCTGCCTCTCAGAAGGCGCGGGCCTGATCTGTGGATGTAAGGCCAGCGCCTTCTAAGAAGCAGCCTCCTTCTAGGAAGCCCTCCCCCCTCCCCCCACCCGAAATCTGCTGCATGCAGCTGGTTTCGGCCCCGTCGCTGGGCCCATTCCTCGATACATGGGCGCCTCCCGGCGCCGGGAGGCACCAGGAAAATCAGCTGCGTGAGCTGATGTTCAACCCCCCCTTTGCTATCCCCCCCTTTTGCCCGGCCTGAAAGAAGCAGCCTCCTTCTAGGAAGCCCTCCCCCTCCCGCCACCCTCCTCTTCGCGCCGCCGAACCTCCTCGATTCCATGGGCCGCGCATAGCCCGCTTTCTCCTGCTCCCGTCGGCCCGCCAGTAGGGGAACAAGAAGATGCCCATGCCGGGGCACTCCGCGGACCTCTCCTCGGGGCGCGTTCCGACCACGACTTCGAAGCGCATCCAGCCGTGGCGACGAGGGCATCCCAGGAGGCCCAAGAAGGCGAAGACGAGAGAAGTGCAACTGGAGCGGCGGCAGTTCCCGTCCATTTTGTTCAGGGCTCGCCGCCGGCTGCCTGCCCAACAGCGGCCGCTGTGGGTCTGGGACAGCACTTGTTATTATTCAATTATTCGAAAGTTCTTTGGTTTATTGGGGGACCAAGATCCTTTCATTTCTAAGTGTTCTATCCTGGGCCTGTTCCTGGCCGCTAGGGGCCCAGGAACAATTAGAAACGAGCTCAATTAGAAATGAACACGATTAGAAATGAACGACGTGTAGTAGTACCAATTTTTTCCCCGTGCACATTTCGTAATGTGTTCGACCACAGACCCCTTGTGGAACGTGAGGATCCAGCCCTCGCGCCGAAGGACCGCGGGGGACCGCCGCAAACCGCGGCAAAGCCGCCGGAGGCCGCCGGAGAGGCCGCCCAGAGACCGCGGAGGGGACTGCGGCGGAGACCGCTGGCAGACAGCTGCATGGGGCCCATGGCCGAACACGTAGCTCGGCACGAACGACATGGGTACGGAAAGAACGGGTACAATGCCCATCAGCAGTTCCTGTGCATTTTGAACAGGACTCTCTGTCGGTGTCGCCGCGGCCGGTGTACGTTTGAGACAGCCGCCTGCCCAACAGCGGCCGCTGTTGGTTTGGGACAGCATTTGTGCTTGGGCATGGTACCCATTATTTCCGTACCCGTTTCGGGCGTCCACAGTAGCACCCTGGGCGTGCCAAACCCCAGCCGTCCTCGGCCACCCCGCGGTTGTCGCTGGGACGCGCCGCCCGCGGCGCAGGGCCCGCAGGCCTCGATGCAACCCCCGCTCCGTGCCTTCGCCAGGAGACCCTGACCTTCCAGGAGGGCGACTAAGTAGCACCAGGACCTCGACGCCGGAAGTCCTGTTTAGGTGGTCCAGATAAGTCAATAGGTTTGGAGGGTTACTTTTTAGCACTCTGGAAGGTCAGGGGAGTGGGGGCCGCTCGGTATTGCTCCGGCTTCGGCCTCAGCCTCGGCCCCAGGCCTCAGGGCCTCGTAAACCCGGACACGCTAGATCCGGACACACACAACATCCCTCAAAACCGATTTTTCCATTCGGCGGCACGAGCAAAATACTGCACTGCAGCAGTTCCAGATAAACAGGGCACAGGCCCTAAAAGCTTGCAAGAACCCCCCAAACCCAGACACAAGCCCGAATCTTTTAGTGCAGCAACAAAACAATCACAGGTGCTGGAAGATGTGACTTTGCAGGAAAGGATGGAGTTTCCTTGGTTTCCTATGTCCTGGTTTATCTGGGTCTTTTGGTATCCAGGGGCCTGAAGACCCAGCTTCGAGCATCTTGGACCACCTGGAGGAAGCAATGCGCGCGACACCAAAGACTGTATGGGGGACGGACGTCTAAGCGATGGCAAGGGGGGGAGGAGGCAGTTCGAACGGGACAAGAAGGAGAGCGACGAGGCGCGCGCGAGCGCCTCGCTTCGTCTCGTTTCGTGCGAGGTGGTGCCGCAGCCCTGCACGCCGAGGCGCCTCAGCCTCCGCCTCCCCCCCCCCCCCTTCTCGAGAGAACCTCCCCCTCCCCCCTCCCTGCTCCGCCGCCGCCTTCCCCCTCCTCCCCTCCCTCGAGAGAACCTCCCCCGTCTACGCCCCCCGTACTCTGCACTCTGCACTCCTCGAGAGAATCCCCATGCCTCCCTGTCCCCCTGCGCGCTGTGGCGGGAAAGCGCGGCTGGTCCATGTATCGCGCGGCCGCCGCACCAAGGGGCCCCAATTAGCTGCATGCCCTGCGCCGCACAAATTCAGCACTTGCCTCTTAGGCTGCCGGGCGCCGCTGCCACCCACCTCCGTGCTTCCTCATTCTTCGAGGTGGTGACGGGGGCCCTGGTCCGAAGTGGCCCCCCGGCTGGAGGAGCAGAGACAATTTCGGGCGAATGGGGGGGGCGCACGAAATCTGTTGCATGCAGCCTGTTTCGGCCCCGCTGCCGGGGGCTCTCCTCGATACGTTAGCGCCTGCGTCGCTGGCAAGGCGCCGGGAGAATCTGCCACGTGAGCTGCTCCGCTACGCACCCCCCTGTTTCTGCCAGCCCTTTCCGCCCGGCAGTCAGAGGAGCAAAGGGGGTTTGGGCGTTGCGTAAAGGGGGGGGCGCTACATGGGTGGGGGTGAAGAAGGGTGCATCTTTTTGTGCAGCTTCGGGCCCTACAGGGCCCCCCTGGGGCCCAAAAGGCGCACAAAAGGTGCACGTCTATTCGGTCCCGCTCGCTCCGCGCCCAACCATTGAGCAACGCCCAGCAGGCCGTGGTAAAGATGCGCTCCGAGGTTCCCAGGCGTTTCTGTTACTGCGAGGTTTCCAGACGTTCCTGCTGCTCCGTGCGGGCACCTCGGGCGCCGTGGGACGGCGGCCGCCGGCAGATGCTCTGGAGCTCTTGGGACGCACCTTGCGCCAATCGCATATCATGGCATAGTTCTCGATCCCGCCCGCTCTGGGGGCCCCGGCGCCCTCCAGGCCAAGAGGGGTCGGAGCGCGGTCCGATGTCCATAGGCCCAGTTTGGATCCTCAGCCTGCTTCCTCCTCCCCCGCCTCCTCCTCCTCGAGGCACCCTGGGCCTCCGCCTCCTCCTCCTCCATCCCTTTGCCTGACGAACAACTCCTTTCCGTCCCGCCCCCTGACGGGTCCGCAGGGGAGGGCCGAGCGTTTCGCCTGAGACTTCCTGACCATGCCTGGTCCTGAAGCTTGAAGATCACAACAGGTTGAAGGATGGAGGGAGGCGATTTTCAAAATACTTATCCTGCCTCAGCGCCGCGTACGCTCGTCTTGGAATGTGCAACAGTTTAACGGGTGGAGCACATGTCGTTTTCAAAGTGTGGTTCTCGCATTAGCGCAGCTCACATTCGTCTCCCACATGTTAGATTTCAGCCAGCGTGGAACCCAAACAGTAACTGATTACACCGCGGATGTGAAAGCTATGCGGTGTAAGCTATGTGGTGAAAGCCTCAGCGTGTAAGCAATGCGATGTGCGATATGGAGGTGAACTCTTTGTGGTACAACGTATGTCGTGTAAAGTCTGTGGTGTATACTGGAGGTGAAGGCTATGGGGTGCAAGCTCTGTGGCGTACGCTATGTTGTGTAAGATATATGGTGTAAGTTCTGTGGTGTATGCAGTGTGCATGAAGCTATGTCGCGTAACATGTGTGGTGCAAGCGAAGTGAAGTAAGCTGTGTGGTGTAAGCTATGTGGTGTAAGCCATGAGGTGTAAGCTCAGATCACGGGGCGCCCGCGAGGCGCCCCCGAGGCAGCACTGGTGGCGACGTGGGGAAACCTGAACATACATCCCAAGCGCGGGGCGCCCACGCGGCACCCACGCCGTAACCTCCACGCGCGGGGCGCCCGCGAGGCGGCGCGGGCCCGCACTGGGGCGATACCCCGCCGTACCCATCCAGGAAATGGATACAGAAAGGTGAAGCATTGAAATTGCTTAAGACACCAAAGTGGGGCGAAGGGCAACTGCAATGCTCAAGGTAGCGATGGTGATGTACAGTGCCAGGGGCTGTGCTGTGCTGAGCTGTGATGAACTTAGACGCGCCATGCCGCGTTGAAGTGATGTGCTCAATTGTATTGTGGATCCGGTCGTCCGTGGCGTCAGAATCCCCATCGAGCTGATCTGGATCTCAAGCTCGAGCTGCCTGGACGCATAAGTCAGATCTGGCCGCAATCGAAACGCGCGGGGCGCTCGACCAGCTCGAGCTCAAGATCCGATTCAGTTCCGGAGCGGGACGAACCGAACTGGGGCGATTCTGAACAGTTCTGTGCTCTGTTGCGTCGTAGGCCAAATCTTCCCTGGCATCCGAATCCTGACAGAATTGAGCTGGGTCTCGAGCTCGGGCTGCCAGGGCGCATTGCTCGCCCAGTTCTGATGGAAGTCGAGACCTTATGAGATGAGAAAGTTCCGCAACAGGGCGAAATGATAAGGGTGAGTCCAGCCGAGACGATGATACGACATGCGACATGCATTGAAAATGGGCCGGCCGAAACGCCAACTACGACAACGACGGCGGAAGGCGACGACCGCCACCGCGGTTCTAGCTCTGGGCCACCATGTCAGATATCCACCTTGGTGGCATGGGCACGTGAAGACATATGGTTCTAGCTCGGGACCACCACGCTAGATACCCAAGTGGGAAATCTGGAAATCACTCACCAAGGAAATTGTGTCAAGTTATTACACACCTGGTGACGTTTTACTGATTGTGTCTTCTTCTTGTGCCCCCCCCCCCACGCTGGGGGCCCTCAGACGACCACATGTTAGATACCCTCTCCCCGTGGGTGGTCCGCACACGTAAAATACGTGATTCCAGCTCGGGGCAACCATGTTAAGATACCCCTCTGTGTGGCCTGGACAGGTGAACACACATGGTTCCAGCTCGGGGCCACCATGTGATATACTGTCTTGGGTGGCCTGGACAAATGAAAACATGTGCTTCCAGCAAGGGGCAAGAGGCAACCATCTTAAATACCACCACCACCCACCCCCCTGGGCGGCTTGAGGACCTGAAGACAAGTGGCTCCAGCTCGGGACCACCATGTTAAATACCCCCCTGGGTGGCCTGGACACCTAAAAACACTTGTGGGACTACCATGTTAGAAATCCTCCCATTGGGTGGCCTGGACACGTGAACAAAAATGAGCCCAGCTCGGGGCCGCCATGTTGGATCCTCTGGGTGGCCTGGACACGTGACAGCACGTGGCTCCAGCTCAGGACCACCATGTCAGATACCTCAGGGGCAATCTGGAAAATCACCCGCCGAGAAAACGGTGCCAAGTTGTTGCACAGTTGGCGCTGGTCTATTGATTTTGTTTGGCTCTTGCAGCCCCCCCCCCTCCACGCTGGGCGCTACCAGACGACCTCATGTTAGAAGCCCCCCCCCCGCCTTGGGTGGCCCGCACATGCAAAAACCATGGTTCCAGCTCGGGGCAAGCATGTTAGATACCCTTTGGGTGGCCTGGGCACGTAAAAAAGCGTAGTTCCAGTGGGGGGGGCACCATTTTCGATACCTCTCTCGGGGCCCCCGTGTTAGAGACTTTCCTGGGTGGCCTGGGCGCGCGAAAAACAAGTGGCTCCAGCTCGGGACAGCCATGTTAGATACCCCTCTTGGGGCCAGCATATTAGATACCTGCCTTTGTTCTGGGTGGCCTGGGCACGTGAAAGCACGTGGCTCCAGCCCAGAACCACCATGTCAGATACCCCAGGGGGAAATCTGGACAATCACCCGCCGAAGAAACGGTGTCAAGGTATTGCAGAGTCGATCTATCGATTTTGCCTGGCTCTTGTTGGCCCCCGCGCTGCTACCAGGCGACCACCTCTTAGAACCCCCCCCCTCCCCACGGGTGGCCCGCACACGCCAAAACACTTGGCCCCAGCTCGGGGCCACCTGGTTAGATAGCCCTTTGGGCTGTCTGGACACGTGAAAACCATGGTTCCCGCTCATCGGACACCTGCCTGACTCGTGCTCACGCTCGGTGCCCCACCATGCCGGACCCCTGAAAACGTGAAAACCATGCCTGGACACCTGCTCAAGCTCGGTGCCCCACCATCTTAGATGTCCCCCGGGGTGACCCGCACACGTGAAGACAGGCTCCATCTGGAGACAGCCATACTATGTACACCCATGGGCGACCCGGGCATGTGAAAAAACACATCTCGCCTAAGACATCCTCTGAATTCTGGCCCCCCAAGACGCCCCTGCTCGAGACATCCCCAAACTTTGCAAAACCAGCGTTTCGCCTGAGGTATCCTCAACACATGTACATAAAACAAGCGTTTCGCTATGGACATCCTCAACTTGTTACCTCGCCGGCCGTACGCGACCTCGTTATTCATCGCAGAATACATTCGCCGGCCCTACGCAAGTCGAGGCCAGGCGTTAACCAGCTAACATGATCGACCCACGAACCCGGAAAAGGAATATAGAAATGTGAAGCATGGCAGCGTTTTCAAGACACCGAATTTGGCGACGGGCAATTGCAATGCTGAGTGTATCGATCTTGATGTACCGTGCCAAGGGCTGTGCTGTGCTTCGCCGTGCTGATCTTCGATGTGCCATGCCGCGATTGTGCTCTACAGCGTTGTGGATCGAGTCCTCCTTTTGCATCCGAGTCCTGATCGAACTGATCTGGATCTTAAGCTCCCAGAGCTAGTTGAAGCTGGAACTCTCCCAGAGCTAGTTGAAGCCGTCTGAGCACATAGTAGCTGCCCCAGAGCTAGTTGAAGTGGAAACGTGCGGGACGTTCAATCAACTCGACCTCAAAACCCGATTCACGTCCGAAAAGGAACGACACAACACGGGGCACAGGCTTACGGACGTGCCACAGGATATGCCAAGGGCGCAATAGGGGATGCGCCAGGGTGTGTGCCAGGGGACGTCTCATGGGACGTGCCCTGAACGTGTGAGGGACCTGCCACGGGACGTGCCAAGGCGCGCGCCGTGGGGCGGCCAGAGTACGTCATGCCCAGGGACGTTGCAAAGGGCGCCCTGCAGAACGGGCAGCGGAAACGCCCAGAAAACGCGACAGAGGACGAAACAGGGAACGTGCCACGCCGAGTGGCGTGCTAGGGGACGTGCCAGGGCACGTCACGCCAGAACGTCGCAAGGGACATGCCAGGGGACGCGCCAGCGCGCCAGGGAACGCCCACGGACGGGCGGTTTTGGATTGCGATGCGCTCTACTGCGACAGACGTTCCGCTCGAGACATCCACAACAAATCCTCATGTCAGACATCCGCCTGGTCGACCCAGACATGTGAAAACACGAGTTTCGCTCGAGGCATCCTCAACACATCCTCCTGTTAAAC